TGGTTACCTCTTTCAAGTGAGGCCCTTCCTCTGCCCCCTTTCTGATAGGCCACACTTCCTCGTGTGCCGACTGAAGGCTGATTCCTGGAGCCAGAGCTGTCATTTGCCTGGTCTTGCTCCCGCAGGAAGCCGTGCAGTTGAAGTATTGAGTGCCGTTTCATGATCAGTATAGTCTCAAAGCACTTAACAGTGTGTCATGTTTCAATAGTGTGGAAACGACTGTAGTAGAGTTACTGTACACGTACTGAAACTACAGTTGATTTTAAAAAATTACTGTATTCAAGGCTCAGGCAGTGTAAGTGGAGGACATGATTCAAAGTAATTTATTATTTAACATTTTACAGGATTCATGGTTAGTTCAGGACTTGTGTACTAGAACAATGAGTGCGAAAGTGGGATGTTTATTGTCCCGTGTGATAAACATTGTTGATATAGAAGCTTAAGGATTTTCTGTCAGCTGAATACTGATTTGTTGTAGCATGTTAAGATTTTTTTTAGCAAACATAACCATTTAAGATGCAAGGAGAACTGTACTTCAGTGAAGAACTGTGAATTTACAATGCAAGGCAGTGGCATGGGTACAGTGCTGCCTGTGGCTTGTCCCCTGCTGTTTGTCATGTGCTGGAATGTTAGCTGATCTGCAGGAGGATTTAGTTTGGACAGAAGTAAACATGAAAAGGCACTCAAATGGTACTTCAGGTTTCTATTTCCCCTGAATAATTAGCATTGCAACTGACCTGATTCTATCATTATTACAAGAACAATTTACAAGAAAACGTCGGCCTGCTACCATATCAGTTTTGACTAGACAGATGCGAATTGAAAGTGTTACTGCATATTGTTCCAGATACGAAGTGTGCAAGCTCTTTCTCTCCCAGGGTCCTCCGATCACAGGCGGAGAGATAGGATCTTGTTACTTTAGCTCTTTAATTGTGTGATTTGTCCAATGATTAGTTTACAGTGATTGGGCGCTGGTTGAAAACACAAGAGGTTACAAATGAGAGGAGGCTGTTCTACTCATGTTTTTAGTTGCCAGTAATTCATAAGAAGTTCCCAGTTTTCCACAGCACATCATGACAACTTGCTACAGACACCCACCACTCTTTGTTTTCAGTCCCAATAGCACTTCCCTCTTCAGACCTAGATTAGTTGCCAAGCATGAAAATGTGTTGTGTTTGCTTTGTTAGCACCTCAAGGGATTTTGAATACTGGTAGGAAAATCATACTTGATCTCTTCTTGCCAAATCTGGAGAGATTCAGTTCCTGAGCACAGGAAGGCACTTGATGCAAAGGGTTACTGGTTTCCAGGGTCAAGATTGGAAAGCGGTGCTCTGTGTGTTTGTCTTGTTCAGGAAATTTATTTCCACTGTAGCTTTACCAATAAAGATTTTAGTGGAATATTTCTATAAAGGGCTTATTTTTTTAGAGATTTCAGAGATTTTGCTCTTGTGGTTCTGCGGTATTTTAGTTGGTGATTCTTTAGTTTTTCTTTTTGATTGCATTTTTATTGATTCATTTCTGTTTCAGTTTTGTTTGTAGTTTATTCCCAAATTCTATACGAACCCTTTAACTTTGGAAGCTCTCAAAAAATGAATATATTGTTTAGTTATTTGTAGGATGGAAACTTTTTTTTTCACGAAACATCATGAGAACTACTTCTTGGGAAGACAATAAATAGCTTAAATGATCCACCTCAAAATCACAGTGATTAAATGAATGATGTTTATGAAGTTTTGTTCTCTTTAAAGATGTGGTTTGTTTTGAAATAACATGTTTGCTGATGGTGAATGCTCAAAAGAATACTAAAGACTAAATAGGAATACTGAAATATTTAAAACCCATATTCTTGTAGTCAGTAACTATTTATGTGATTGAGTTAGAATGTCTTGTAGAAGTGCTTTAAGCTCAAATCCTATTAGGTACATTATAACAAAGTAATAAAGTCAATGCAAAGATTCCCAAGTGATAAATATCCCAGTGGTTTTCACTTACAGTAGTCTTACTACATAATTAAATATCAAAATTCTGTTAAATTTCATTTATCCTTTTCACTTACAATAGTCTTACTACATAATTAAATATCAAAATTCTGTTAAATTTTATTTTTCCTTCCTTAAATCGTAATGAGAGCTGATATTTCAGAAAAAAATTAAACCTGAAAGACATCGCTAGTGGGCTTCTCAGCCTGATGTTTGTCAGTAGCACTACAGTAAAAAGAAAACAGATGCTTGCACCTTTTTACTAATGTTTGCTTATCCAGAGAGGCCACGAAAGATTTAGTAAGACCGTCCATCAGATAAGAGGCGTTAATGAACCATGTCTGAAGCATTGCTTCCAGTTTAATTAGCATGTAGATTAAAGAAGCTTTAATGAATTACGGAGCAGGTGTTGGTGATGGAATAAACAGAAGATGGGGAGAAAGGGTAAGGAGGGCTAATTATTGCTGCAGGGGATTCGATTGGAACAAGCCCTGGCGTGGAAGTGGTGGGAAAGTGGAGAGTAAACCGGAGTGCGGCCGGGATGTGGCCTGTGCGTTCACCGTGATCTCTGCAGGTACGGTACCAACGTACTGTGCTCCAGCCGCGCGCTGGCCTTCTTGGGGAGCCGAGTTTGGGGGATTGCAGGACCAAGAATACAGTCTCAGATAAACATTGCATTACAGGTTTTATGGTTTTATAGCACAGGTTTTTTGCTGTCTGGTTAAGTCTGCTTTTGATCGGCTGCTCTCTGATTCTTTGTGTGTGCTTTGGGTTTATCAGGTTTCATGCCTCTGCATGGGACTCTACGGTACTCTGCATGATTGTGCAGTCCTTCTGAGAACACATTGTATCCCTTCAGTTTACAGTGTAGTAGTCAAAAGCAAAGAGTTTCTAGAAATTATTGAGCAAATGAATTCACTCGGTTTAACCTTGAATGCTTGGGCTTCACATCAGGCATTTGGAAACGATGGGGTTCTTCCCGGAAATGTTTTGATCTTGGTAAATGGACATCAATTTATACAGTAGGTTGGAAATATTTTTCTTTTCTTTAAGGTGTGTATGTGTGAAGAGGGTTTTATCCTGCTGCCAAGAAATGCTAGATCACGGTTCCTAAAAACAAACTAATCGTATAAATAATTCTGGAAACAAATTGGATTTTTATGCCATTGATACCATATTTCCAATACAAAAATTACCTACAGTATATATGAATTTCAAAATCTGATAAAATGGTGTGGTGACCTTAAGTAATTGCTGTTGTACATGTGTACAGTCGCATTGGGCTATCTACTTTTGGTTAATGTAGTTATCTAAATGTAGACCTAGAAAGACCATTTTTGTTTTTTGGTCCTGGGAAAGTTAATTACTCTTTTGTGTTTGATGTCCCATCATCCTGTCTTTGTGTCTGTGTCGAGGAAAGGAAAAAATGTTTCGCATTCAAAACCCTGTGGTTGAAGCCCCTGTTCTGCCCAGTGTGTATTCAGAGGAATGAAAGGCTTCGTTCTCCCTGTGCTCGCAGGACGCCGAGCACTGAGGGTGTTTTGGATTCAAGCCGGCCAGGGGGTGTGTCTGAAGTGCGGGGACAAACCGCGTGTTGAAAGAGGAATGTGTGTGATGGGCACATCGTCTTCTGCTGCACCCCTCCCGTCAGCTCACCCTGTCACACTTTCCTCAGCGCTCTGTACTCTCCACCCCTCCTGCACGTTAACCATCTGAATCTGTCAGAGCCATTGTTCCAGTGTCTCACCGAACAGGAAGTTCTTGAAGCATTTAGACTTTGACTCTTTTAATTAACCATGCACAAAAGAGAGGAATGACCAGCCCAAGCCTGGAGTGGTTTGACTTTGTAGGAGATGACTGAAGAACACATATGTTCCTCTATTCTTCGCTGTCATATGAAGGAGAGGATGCTGAGCTTCAGGTGTAGTTAGATCTGCTTTTCTTAAACATTGTACAATGGGCCAGAACAAATTGTTTAACAGTGAGATACGCAGTGTTAGCCTGGCTTGATTGCTTTTTTTGTGAGTGTAGTAACTGGTGAAAAAATAATTCAGCTGAACAAGATATCTTGAGAGAGAGCATAATTAGGAAGGTTTGAGGATTCTTACGGGTTGTTGAAATTTCATTTTGTGTATTTGATACAGTAGTTTGGGCACAGGGAATTGGGTATCATTGTAGCACTTGGAATGCAGACTGCAAATCCAAATAATGTCGGTGGGGCCCTATAGGATTTAGGTTTAGAACAAAAAAAGTATTGGGAGCACAGATTTAATTAAAAATTCTTTGGAGTTAAAGCCCTTTCACTGGGTATGGGATCTTGCTTTAGCAAATCAGAGCTGATTGAATTTGTGCCTGCAAACCCTTTCCATTTGACTTGGTATTGCAAATACAAAGGATTTTCTCTGATTACATTTATTTGTGTATTAAGCTGCCCACTGATCCTGCAGGATTTCTAGATAAATCTGGGATTAGTAGGTTACTTGGACTCATCAGCATTTTGGTAAATTTAGGATGAGCAGGGCGAGCTGTCAACCCATAGGAGGGCACAACGTGTACTTGCTTGCAATACACATCTCAGGGTGACGAGCAGGCTTGATTATGAGCGTACAGCAAAGTAAAGGATCTGACTTCTGTGTGGTTTGTTTTTAAAGGGGAATGTCTTACCTCTTACGGTATTCAAGTAAAAAATATCAAATTGAAGTTCTCTGTTTAATCTGCACAAAATTCAAAACAAGGTGAGAAATTGTTTGGGAAATCTCTAAATTTGTTTTCATCCTACTAAAATTTGTAAAACTGTTGATGTCATTTATTACTTTTGATAGGACAATTTTTAAAAATGTCTTTTATGCATTTTTGAAGCACACTTCTCTCTGTGGCCAGTGGCTTTAGTGCAACAGCTGTTGTTAAAAATTGGGTCCCCTTGGTATATGTCTGCATGGAAGGTCCCTAATCTTTAGAGTTTTATCAGGTGGGTTTTAGTCATGTGCTTTAATCATGGACTTGCATCTGTTTGTTTTGCAGTCCCAGAAATCCTGGATAGAAAACACCTTCACCAAGAGGGAATGTGTGTATATACTTCCGGTTTCAAAAGACCCTCACAGGTACTGTATGTCTTTCTGCCCTCAGCTGGGAGGGACGTGCTGAAGCTCTGTCATCACCTGCTGACAGGGGCACCTGTTTTTGTGCATTATTGTCGCCTTTTCTTAGACCTCTGTGTGGAGGAACCTACAAACCTGCAAAAAGCCAAGAGCTCAATAAAAGGAATAGAAAAGTATATAACCTGCACAATTGTTGCAGTAAAAAAAACTGTAGCCTTTACGGAATATGTACTGTAAAAATAGTGACAGTATCTTTTTTATTTTGACAGCTATATGCAGTACAACATAATACTAAATTATAACAAAATTATACAATACAGTGCAAGTGCTGTCATTATGACTGAAGATACTCCTAATTGTTTAAAAATAAAATCTTCAGTTGTCCGAAAGTTGTAGTTTTTAACACTTTTTAACCAGGGTTTTCTCTACTGAATGCAATGTGGATTTGAAAATGAATGTTATCAGCTGTGGAATAAGCAATGAAAATAGTTTACTTAGTTGCTTATCTCTGAATTTTGTAACATCTCAGAACATGCTCCTCTTGTTTTGTATATACAGCTTTTTACATTTTCAAAGGCTGTTTTATTGAAAGAGAAAAATGCAGAAGTACAGAGCTTCTGAAGAAATGCAGGACAGAATTCCTCAGATTGTATGGTGACGTGTGGAGCAGTGCTATGAAAATGCAGTCTTAATGGCTCGATTTATAAATAGAAAGAATACTCTTCAGTACCAACACATTTTTCTCTTTAGAACATTTTGTTTAATCAGAATAAGAATCCAGAAATGTATAGCTTGTTGATTCATTAACAGTCACAAAAATTGTATATTGTTTAGTCCAAAAAAAAACACTTTTTTCCAATGAATCTATGGGTTAAGTTGATTAGTAAAATGAACAGGCTGCAATTTTGTGCACATTTGCACTGAAAATGACTTTCTCTGGCTTTATTAACGCAACATGAGCGCTGATATATTTAATATGTATAATCTGTTCTGAGTAATCTGCTTATGTAATTTAGTCGTGACTCCAATTCTCTTTCTACATTGCCTTTTATGCCAAATCGCAAATGGTTTCTTCCTATTTACTATAAGGAATTTAATTTGCAAGTTTAAAGCTCTGCAAGACAAAAGACTGTTTTCTCGTAAACATGTATCTACGTTTGTTACTGACCAGGCTGCTTTTGTTAAATATTTTCAATCTTCCTGCTTTGGTCTGCTAGCTGTTCTAAAGGCTGTGAGTTTCCATTGTCCTTTGACAGAAAAGGTGATGTATTTGTGAAGTTTGTTAGACTTTGTTAAAAATTCAGTATTTTAACAGCAACTTTGTGGTTCACACTTGATTAATAATTTGCAACAGTTTAGGTTTAGGTCATTTCCTATGTGTGTAACCTTTATCTGGCATTGGAGCCACATATTTCCAGTGATATAAACAGTAGTAAGCTCAGGCTTTTTGTCACTACAAATCCCAGTTCACTGGGGTGATTTTTGTGCTGAATTTCTTCTGCAGATTAAGTGTGATATCAGTTTGCAATGGAAGTGTTAACAGTATTTTTTCCTTTTCATAGATAATGTGATTATAGAACATTCTGTCTTATAGACAACTTTTTTTATGCAGTGAAAAGCTCAGGTCTTGAGTAATGCAGCCTGAGATGAGTTGTCAAATGCTTTTGTTGGGAAAGAAACATTTGATCAAGTTGTCATTTCCCCAGCATGCTCACTGTACAAAACAAACCTAAAAGGCACAGAACAGCCCTAAAAATGATGCTTAATTGTATAACGTCTTTTCTAATCATATGGTTTGGAACTGAAGCAAGTCGCATTACTTCACCCTCTTCCTAGTTAAACTACTGTTTAAGTGTGGTGATAAGTAAGCTTTTAACTTTTGCACTGTGCAATAGTGTAGGCACAATTACAGTCGCCAGTATTATTGTTAAACCCACTAGGTTTGGAATCGCTAGTTGTGTGTTTTTCCTGTCTCCGCTCGCAGCTCCCAGCCCCATGGGCGCACACAGGGGAGAATGAGGAGGTGTGGGCAGACTCTTCCAGCCTGCCTATCTTCGAGCCCCTCGTCTTTTAAGGTGTAATGGGCAGCGCAGCCCCTTTGCTGGGGGTTCGGTGCCCCCTGGGGGAGAGGAATATCCGCATTCTCACTGACGGCAGTGCTGGCCTGCAGGCCACAGGGGGCGCCGTATAGCTGAGAGCCAAGAGAGCAGCATGACTCAGGCTCGAACCTGCAGGAAAGAGCCTTTACCAGCCGGGCCACTCAGGATTCCCCAGTCACAACGTAATCACTGCATCCCAGGGGGGATAGTGGCGTTATCAAGGCCAAGCTACATGTTCCTAAATCTTTCTTGTGTTCCTCTTTACCAGATGCCTTCCAGGATGCCAGATTTGCCAGCAGCTCGTGCGGTGAGTCAAACCTGCTTTGATTTTCTGACTTCAGGTGCTTGTTCAGCTCTCTGGTCTGTGGTTCAAGGGAAGCTTGGCAGAGTGAGATCTAAGTAATGCACACTTTCCTGCAAGCTGCTTTCATTGCACACTTATTGTATAACTTTTTAGCATACAGGTAAGGGAAACCAATGGAGGCGTACAAGTGTTCCCATGCTTGTAGCCATCTCTTGGGTACTGAGGTTAGAGGATGGTGAATGATGGTCTTCGTAGGGTGGACTGCATATGTGTAGCTTTTTGCTGGCCCAGGCTCGTTGCTGTTTTATTCGGGGTGTCAGCTGAACTGGCCAAATGTTTATTTAAGCACTCAAAGACAAACCCTGTCTTACTGACCCAGCACCACCCCTCTTCAGGAAACAAGGAGCTTTCCAGGCGTTGTGAGTCAGGATGCACGTCTTGGGGGGTGGGGGGCCCTGCTAGTGTGCAAGGCCTTGTGGTCTCGGTGTGTTGTGCTCACAGTTGGCCTGACAGTACTTTCCTCTTCAGGATCACTTAGAAACACCCAAAACAAAAGAGCACACTGCATATAATTTTCAAATAAATTGACAAGCTAAACTGATGTGTGCAAAAGAGACTTCTGTAGAACTATAAACATTGCTTTAACATAAAATAAGATTGCTTTAATGTTTTTCACAAATATCTAACCTTGTTAAATAAAACTGTACTCTTATAGTTATTAAATAAGAACCATTTTGAACAGGACAATGGGAACAGAGAAATAACAAGTGCATTTAGTATGTTTCATTATGGAGTCTTAAAACATCCTGTTAGTGTTAAAAATCTTTGTCAGCAAAATTGCTGTCTTGGTGTTTTCAGGTTTGCGAGTTATAATTTCTTAACCCAAGTGAGTTTCATGTGAGATGCGTGTTGCAAAAGAAGCAGACGTGCATAATGACGTGTAACATGATGAAAGCAATGTAAATAAGACCATAATGAAGATATTTCTTCCCTTTAAGGTGCTGGTTTGGGAAAGCGTCTGGATGTAGTGTCTTAAGATTCTTTCCTGTTTTGTGTTAAGACCTCCCTGAGACCACCTAGACTGTGGCTCAGTACTGAGGTTTTGCACTGAAGGGCACTAACCCTGGCTGACACTTCTGGGTCCTCAGGTGCTGCTGTGGGCGGCTGGTCCGACAGCACGCGGGCTTCACGGCCAGCCTGGCCATGAAGTACTCCGATGTGAAACTGGGTGAGAACGAGATGCCGGAGCTGGAGGAGTGGTCGGTGGAGAAGCACACGGAAGAGAGCCCCACAGATGCTTACGGCATCATCAACTTCCAGGGCGGATCCCATTCTTACAGAGCCAAGGTGCGCTGAAGCCCTGCCCGGGCAGCGGGGCTCTCGGTTATAGCAGCACACACTGGGGCATCTCGAACCTTTTTCTGCATGGAAAAAAAAACAGTCAGTGTATGTGCCTAAGGAAAGTAATGGCGGATAGACATGCTTTTTGACCTTGGCAGTCTTGGGTGACCGTCTCTTACAGATTATGTGCACCGGTGAGAATAGAGAAGAAAAAGCCTGACAGTTACCTTGAAAAAACATTGTTAACTGTTAACTCCATGTGGAATGCAGTGTATTGACGTTCCCCCGTTTTCTCTTGGGTACAGTATGCGCGACTCTCCTACGACTCCAAACCAGAAATGGTTCTGCGTCTCTTGCTGAAAGAATGGCAGATGGAGCTTCCGAAAATTGTCATCTCCGTGCACGGTGGCATCCAGAACTTTGACCTGCACCCCCGCATCAAGCAGGTCATTGGGAAGGGTCTCATTAAAGCAGCAGTAACGACTGGAGCCTGGATTTTAACTGGAGGAGTCAACACAGGCAAGCGCAGAAACGGAATTAAAAACTCAGAATGAATGCAAATCTGAAGAATTTAAAAAGAGGGAATAAATGTTTGACACCATAATGAGAGGTTATTTTTATGGCCGTGTCTGTCCACAGAAATGTAGGCACTGCAGCCCGTAATACAGAACCACTTGGGACTTAATAACAGTCTGCGACTGCTCGTTATATGCCAATTAGTGTAATTGCTGTTCAGTTTTAATTAGAGTGGTGCACTCATTAATAACCACCTGTAATTGATATTCAGTGCTGATGCTTGTAATTTGCCTTTTGTTTTGTTTTTGTTAATGAAACCACAAAAAGCTATGGGTTTAGAGCTTATTACATGCCTTATTTGTATATTTTAATAATTGTTTTAGAACCGTAAAAGCATTTATATTTAAACATTGAAGGAATGCGTCAGCAGTATTGTGACCGATCTTTGGTCGAATTTATTTTTTTGACGCACAGGTGTGGCGAAACATGTCGGGGATGCTCTCAAAGAGCACAGTTCCAGATCCTCGCGGAAGATTTGCACTATTGGAATAGCTCCCTGGGGAGTGATTGAAAACAGAAATGACCTCATCGGAAGAGACGTAAGATTATACTATATACTGATCTTCGGTTTTCAAGCTTGGCTTATGCAAACGTGTTTATTTTCTCCCGTGTGCTCGCTTCCTTGTTTCTGTGTGCTGATTAATGGTGAGAAGCAGTAGCTCAGAAACAGTCTTGTACTCAGGTGATCGCCCCGTACCAGACACTGCTAAACCCCCTGAGCAAGCTGAACGTCTTGAATAACCTCCATTCACATTTCATCCTGGTGGACGATGGGACGGTGGGAAAATACGGAGCAGAGGTGAAGCTGCGCCGGGAGCTGGAAAAACACATCAACCTCCAGAGGATCCATGCTAGTAAGTGAGCACCTGCACTTCATCTCCGCGTGAGCTGAGTGTTTGTGCGCCAACTTCGCCCTGCAGCGAGGAGTTCGACCCGAGAGCAGGCTTTCACTGGGCTGCATCCTCCTTTCTGGCACGCAGACGTTCATTCGGCTGACTCGCGCGCCTGAGCAGTTGAGCTACAGCACTTCGTCCTTCACTTCACTCTCTGGGGCAAGATGATTGAGTGTGGAGATCGGGTTGGCTCTTAGGAGTTTCAAGGTGTTCTGTGCGTTTTTGAGGTTTGATGTTGAAGTTATTCATCCGCACAAACTTGTGTGCATGATTATTTGTGCATAATGAGTTCATGTATGAAACGGGCCCCAGACTGCTCAGGTTGATGGAGGTTTTTGAATAGTAACATTCTGTTCATGCGATCACTCTCATCTCTCAGGAGGATCCCAAAGAGACTGATAGTAAAACAAAAATGTTCAGAGGCCTTCTATTTTTACGTCTTTTTTTTTGCATGGAAAACAAACGAAAGAAGCGGGGTTAATGAATAGTTTGTCTAAAAAGGAAGTACCTTGAGAAATACCCAGGTGTTTTTGTTAATGTTAAAAACCAGGTTCGACTGCAAGATCCCTGAATCTGACCTGTACCATACAGCCATATTACACTTGGGATCTCAAGAGCTAGCCAGTGTGGTTTTATAAATTACCCATTACCAGGCTGGAGTCTTGTAGCTTCCAGTGGACTGCTTATTACGTGGTCTGCAAATATAGGGTAATTTGAGCATCTGTGGCAAAGCACCACAATAAATGCTAAAAAATGTGTTGACCTAAGCTAAACGAGGTGTTGCAGACATCAAAATAATAATTTCCATTAAATGCAGAGGTACGAGACATTTGTTGCATCATGCTTTTCTTTTACATGAGTTCCTGATCTTCTGTCCGTCAATGTGGCACCTCTATGCCATCTTCTAATGCCGAATGATGCTCCAGAATAAGCGTATTTTTTCATTATTATTCTTAATGACATCATCTTCGTTGGAAACTGGGTTCATAAAATAGTATGAGTTATACAATACTTTTGCGATTCTCTTTAATACCGGCTCAAAGTCTTGTGATTTGTCGAAAGTCAGCATTAATTGGATTATGTATAAAAATGTGAACCAGTTCACAGTAATAAAGTTTGTCTTGGTTTTTAGTCTTGCTGTTTGAACTGTGAATCTATTTAAACTTATTTGAAGTAAAAGGCTTTTCTCACCTGTGGTTTTCTTAATCCATTATGGGTTTTCACTGCCTCTGTGTGTTGTATGAATGTTTCGGTGTATCTTTTCAGTGCAAAGTGCAGTTCAGTTTTTGGAAACGGGCTGCCTGGAAGTTGTTGCATCGCAAACTTGCACATGAGCGCGAAAGCCTAATGCCTGTTGTGTGTCTGTGCTCGCCAGGGATCGGGCAGGGGGTTCCGGTGGTGGCGCTGATCTTCGAAGGCGGGCCCAATGTGGTCCTCACGGTGCTGGAGTACTTGCAGGAGAGCCCTCCCGTGCCCGTGGTCGTGTGTGAAGGAACAGGCCGGGCTGCAGACATCCTCGCCTATGTCCACAAGCAGACTGAGGACGGAGGGTAAGTGACCCCTCTGCTGGGCACTGTGGGTCTGTCCTACAGCCTTTCAGCTCTCGCAGTCAGAAAGCTCTCTAACTATTTCCAGGTTGAATGTAAACAGTCATTAGGACAAATGTTTTCATGGTGCTTTAAATTTGAAAGGATTTTATAGATAAAACATTGATTCCATTTCAGCAGTCTCTGCTGCAGGCAGTATGGGCCCTGTGTGTTATTTACAGAGGTAATATTACACTGTGGCTAACGAACCTCAATTGCCAAGGACCTGGTAATGAGCAATGTCAGGATCTCCCGAGAAACATAGTGGTGGGGGTCTCAAAGATTTAGAGGTGCGACAAGTAAATATTTAAACAATTAACAAAAATATAATTTCAGTTCAGCAAATAATACAACAATTTAATGCAAAAAAATCTGACCTAGAAACTCATTCTTCTAAGAACAGGATGTTGTTAATATCTTTATGTATGCCTTCATCATTAAAAAAGTTGTACACTCCAAAATCTGGCAACACGCATTTAATATGTAAAAACATAGAACTGCTATAAGACAGGCCTATCACAGCTATAAATCTAAATGTTTGTTTTGAATAAAGGTTACCAATAAAACCTTCATAACATGTTGTTAGTAAGGAGGTATGTATAGTTTTTACAACTTAATAGTTGTGTAAACACTTGACCTGTGTTTAAATAAAGAGTATTTGTATCCCTAGAGATGCTATCTCCATTGTAACTGCTGGAGTCAGCATTTCATGCAAATTGAATGGCATGATGCTAATTAGCAGGAAGTAAATGACAAGATTTAAAACTTGGTAAATTTGAAAATAATTCCATAAACAAGATCGGGGTGCATTCATTTTTCAGTGTTAAAAACCTTGTAGTGTCATGGAGCGGAAACAGGAGGCGTGTGTGTGACTGGCATCTTGAAAGTCAGAGGGAATGTATTAGCACTCGAATACCAAAAAAAAACTGCAGATGTATTACAGTAATCTTGATGACTCAAGTTACTCTGTTAATTACGCCAACTTGAGTAGGGTAGGGAAAAATGAGTTTTTAATGAAAGCTCAGGAGGGATGACGGTGACCTGGGTTGGCTGGGCCGGAGCGGTGGCTCTGGGAAGGTTGCCGGTTCGTATCCTGTGGCCGGCAGAGGAATCCTACTCCATTGGGCCCCTGAGCAAGGCCCTTAACCCCAACTGCTCCAGAGGCGCCGTATAAATGGCTGACCCTCCGCTCTGACCCAAAACTTCTCTGTGTGTGTCTCTCATGGAGACCAAGCTGGGGTATTCAAAAAGACAAATTCCTAATACAAGAAATTGTATATGGCCAATAAAGTGATCTTATGTTAACCAAGTTCTAACTTCCCCTGAAAGCCATCAATACTGCCATGAGCCCCCGTCTCTTCCTCACGTTCGTTTTTCTCCACCCTGTTTCCACCTGTGGAGCTCCTCTCTCTGCAGGAGCTGCCTGACTTCCTCGCCCACAGGCCAGGGGGCTTAAAACCAAAAAAATCCTTACACCCAACCTTTTTAGAAACATTGATGATGCATTTTTCTGATTGGGTGTTATTATTCCATGTCAAACCAGCTTTAAATGAAACTTGATTAAATGGTGCTGTAGAAAAATATGATTTGCTGTTTTTAATTCTTTGGTTTTTGTATGTTCTAACTATAGCAGAGACATTATCAATAGTATGTGTTACAGGGGTTTGTGTACCTGCCAGGTCTAAAAAGTGCAGCAGAACTGTAAACAGTGTTAATCTGACATGAACTGTCTTGTGATTTAGAGGCCTTCCTGATGGTATTGAAAGTGACATCATTTCAACCATCAAAAAAACCTTCAACTTCAGTCAGAGTGAAGCTGTGCACCTGTTCCAGGCACTGATGGAATGTATGAAGAGCAAAGAACTGGTATGAATATTTAAACACAGTTTTGTCTTCAATTAATTACTCAAAATTGCAGCTATGTCTAAGTATTTGTTTTAAAAGTATTTGTTTTAAAATGGAAGTTACTGAATCAGAAAATATCCACAATAAGGACAGATTCATCAGTGCTGAAATTACACACAACAAAAGTCACACAACAGATTTGTTTACAGATACATATTGAGTAACATATTAGTCTTGATTGACGGTAAGAAATTAAGTAAATTGTGCAGTTGAATTTTATTCACTATTATTCTTTTCAAAAAAGATAACAGTCTTTCACATTGGGTCGGAGGACAGCCAGGACATTGATGTTGCAATATTAAAAGCACTGTTGAAAGGTAAGTTTTTCCCCCCCCCCCTTTACTCTGAAATAATTTTCATGTATCCATTCATGTAGTGAGAGATTTTCTTCCTAGATGTATTTTTTGAAGTGTGAGAGCATTAGGTCGACGTAGGTCTGCAGTTTAAAGTATTCCTGTGCTACTTTTTTCATTTTTCCTCTCCTGGGCCAGATGGGCTTCTTGTGTCTTTGGTTGGTCTCTGCTTTTCTGTGTCACACGTCCTCCCTCTGAGGATTCAGTTATGTTGCATGAGGGCATGTGGCCAAGCTTTTGAGTTTGATTCAAGTTTCCACTTCAGACTGGTAAACACAAGTTGTAGGCTGAATGACCGTGTTCAGGAATTTGGAATCTTGCCTTGGACATGTTCCCCCAAGATTCCATGGTGGCTTTGGAATGGCAGCATGTTAAGATTTTTAAGTCTGATTATAACTTAATTCTCAATGTCATTCCCTTCTTGTTTCCCTGCAGCTTCCTTTGTGTCACTGGGCTTTAAAACTGAAGGCATATAGGTATCCCGATTTTAGCCCCAAATGGACTTTTCCCTTCATTTTTATCCTGTAGAACTGTCTCTCATACTGTCTCTGTGCTGTGGGTGTTTCCTCAGTGTTGCAGTGTAGAAGCTGTAATTGTTTACTGAGGGTTCGGCAGGTGACTTGCTCGTTCTGGCAAAACACTTTTATTCAGTGGAATTTAATCTATTTTATAAACATTCCCACAGTTTTGAGCACTGAAGCCAGTAAGATGTCTGCCTATTCCGCAAAAGTGCCAATCATATTTTTCATTATTGTTCAAGATTTTTGTTTTAATAAAGCAAAGGCGCTGTTCCTTCCAATGTGTGCGATTGCAATATTTTTTTTCCCATTGAAGAACCTAAAAATTCTCCAGATTTCTTCCCCATCAGCTGGCTGCTCTTGGTTGTAAATATGAGGGATGTGACTTGTTCACGTTCTGTCCTCCCATGATGTACTGGTGGGAACCTGTGTAGAGGTTCATGGGGATTTGGACAGTTCCATTTCCTAGGCAGCTTGTGCTGAGTATAAAGTTATAAACTTTCCCAATTAACTGCATGCAACCCCCTCACTAAATAACAAGTAGTAAATCTATGTGCCACCCTGCCTCGTTTAAACATCTTCTTTTTTCCAGAATAGACTTATCTGTATGGGAGTTCTGAGTGTGAACTTTGTGCACCGTGCCTGATCCTCATTTTCTTGAGAGTGTTACCCTGGATTTGAATTTGTTCCTGCATATTCATTGCCTTTCCTCTTTTTGCATTCCTCTGGCTTCAGGCACCAATGCATCTGCGTTTGACCAGCTGGTCCTCACGCTGGCCTGGGATCGAGTGGACATCGCTAAGAACCACGTGTTTGTCTACGGGCAGCAGTGGCTGGTAAGTAGGAGGTGATACCAGAGAAAATGCATGTGATGATTCTCTTCAAAGCTGCTGTAGAGCCTAAAAGTTTGGATTCATGTAGTTAGATTCCAGAAAAGACATGACTGAGCATTAGCTTTGGTACTGATCAGAATCCTGGTGATAATAGGAAATTACATCAAATTGCGCTGTCAGTAGAGTGTATTAGTACTTCAGCAATCAGTCGGAACAGTGAAATGCTAAAATTAGTCTTCCTTTTTATAGCTTTGTTATCTTTAACAGGGTTTCCACAGATTTTATAAAAGAAAAGATGGTATCTGTAAAGAATAGTGAGGACTTAACACTCGTCTGCTCTAGCTATCATCTTACCTGATCTATCTTTGTTCCTTTATCAGTGTTCATTGTGATTATTTAGCAAAACTTAATCTTCTATTGCATCTTTATGGAGCCTGCATGTCACTGACTAGGTTTACTTTATAAAATGTTTGGGATTAATCATTACACAGACAAGATCCGTGACCTTAGTTCTTAGACTTGCTCTTAAACATTTGACATTTTGGTGAAAAAAAACAGATGCTTATTATCTCTGTGAAGGGATTTGTAAATTGTAAACGCACATTACCACATAATCAGAGACTTGTCTTATTTCACCAAGTATAATCAGATGTGAAATTGATGGAAACAAAATGCTCATGGATACTAGTTTTTATTTTAACAAAAAACATTTTTTTTCTTTCTCATGATGCATGTGGAGGGTTAATGTTGTCATGCTGCTGCTTGGACCTGGGTTGGAACCAGTCAGGTTTGGAGAGTCAGTGGCTTCAGACTCCAGTGCAGTCCTATAACATACCCCTTTGTTTCTGCTATTTGGGATATAGAAATGGATTATTGTAGTGTTCCAGTGCTGCGGTCAGTGACTGTGGCTTTTCCATTCCATTGCAAGAGTCCTGAGGTACTGAAAAATGAAGTGATTCAGGTTTTGCAGCAGCTGTTTCCTTCCAAGAGGACAAATGTCCCGTTCTCTTAAGCTTCTCAACAGCACGGGACAACACAGGCAGGAGCCGAGCCCACTGAGGCTTATGAAGGATTGAAACCGGCCCCCATCACACACATGCCGCAGGTCGTGGCAGCATGGTTTAGCTGTGTCCTCTTCAGTCTGCTGCGTAATGTGCCGTCACAGGTGGGGTCGCTGGAGCAGGCCATGCTGGACGCCCTGGTGATGGACCGAGTGGATTTTGTCAAGCTCCTCATTGAGAACGGCGTCAGCATGCACAAGTTCCTCACCATCCCCCGTCTGGAAGAGCTCTACAACACGGTATGAGCTCACGATGGTGTTCCGCAGGCGATCTGCTGTTTGAAACTGTCATCCTCGCTTCCCTTTTGAAAGCGTCTCCCTCCACTTGTCCCAGTTAGAGTGAAGGGTGAACAAAAGCATTTGCACATTGTACTTTTTACTTTTATTATCCTACTCAGTGATATTTTATTTCTGTTTTCCTCTAGTGGGTTGAAATTCTAATTGGGGGAAAAAACATAAAAGTTGTTTTCAAAGAGTATAAAAAGCTTCTGTTGCAGCTAAGTCTTGATGCAATGTAGTGATGTTCCTATTTTTCTTCTTCTTGACAGTTTAATCTTGCAGTTTTGTTAATAATTGTTTCTTTTTCCTCCCTGAAGAAACAACCTCCAACAAATCCCACTCTGTTTCACCTTGTGCGAGATGTAAAACAGGTATTTGTTAAATTTGTTCAATTTTTAAAATGGCGGATTGAGCACATTGGAATGATAATATGTATAGTTTTCGTGCTGTTGGTAATCAAAACTGGATCCATATTTACCAGTGTTTTATCTGCACCGAGAGCTTATATCCTCCCTTCTGGTTTGCTGAGTTCTACCAGCCCGTTTTGTTTAGCGCACCAAAAGTGCACTCCAGGTTAAGCCTGTACAGGTATGCTTAGTGTCTTTTTTTAAGTGCAAATAAAGGATGTAGCCTCCTTTTTAAGAAATGTTATCTTTGTATTATCTAGTGTGTATCACATTTCTCATGTCCCACATGATTGGTGTAACGTGGTGTTATCCTGACATGGCTTTTGAGTGCAGGTGTCGTATTTCCTTCCTCTGCAGGGTAATCTCCCCCCAGATTACAAAGTCACGCTCATTGATGTGGGTCTGGTCATTGAGTACCTCATGGGTGGCACCTACAGATGCAACTATACTAGAAAGCGTTTTCGGATTGTTTACAACAACCTCCATGGAAACAACAGGGTGAGGACTTATGATCTTAAATTTCGCATGCTTTGCATGATAACTGGGAAAGAATAACATCAGTGAAAGATCAATATTCCATTCATTCCGTGTACTGTGGACTGTGGCGCCTGCATCAGGTCTTGAGCAGAATCCAGGTTTTTAAGCTTTTAATGATAGAAAAGGGACTAATGCCAGATTGGAAACAATATTGGTTAAGACAGTGGTGGTGTTTCAAAATGTAATAGTGGAAATCTGAATTCAGGATAAGTGTTAGGAATAACCATTTGTTTTACCTTGACATTTTTAATTAAAAAAACAGTCATATTACCGTCAAAGAAAGTCCCTTTTTGGAGTGTCTTCTGCACATGGCTATGCAGTGGAATTGCAGGTGAAGGACAAATCATGTACCCTGCCTGAAGAAATAATGTGTATTACTTTTAGCGGTCTGGGCGGCATTCCACTTCAAGCAGCGGGTCTCAGCTGCGAAGGAATCACGAGCCGTTCACTATCAGAGCAGACAAGAAGGAGAAGACCAGGCACAATCACTTCATTAAGACTGCGCAGCCTTACAAGCCCAAGGTATCGCAGACACCTGCATTTTATTCAATCAGAATTCCACAGTGCGGGTTCCAGTGTAACTAACCTCCCAGGTGGCTGGATGTACAAGATTCATACAGTTTTAAAAGCTGATGGAAAACAGTTTAGAAATGTAACTAAGTAAAATTTCTTTGCAGCTTATGTATGCATTTTAGTAGAATGGTATATTTTATTGCAACTTCAAACTTCCTGACCCAGACGTAAATATTGTAGTCACGACGTGTCTTTGTTCACTGGTTAATTGGAACCATTATGCTTCAATGTGAAAGCCGCATTCCTCACCAAAAGTAAAAATAAACAATTTAATCTTTGGACTCTCCCTTCCCCCTCCCCTCTTTGTAGCCTGAATCGTCAACTGAGCAGTCGAAGAAGAAGAGCAAAGAGGAGATTGTCGACATTGACGACCCCGAGACCCGGCGCTTTCCCTACCCTTTCAACGAGCTGCTGGTGTGGGCCGTGCTCATGAAGAGGCAGAAGATGTCCCTCTTCTTCTGGCAGCACGGGGAGGAGTCCATGGCCAAGGCCCTGGTGGCCAGCAAGCTGTGCCGTTCGATGGCCTACGAAGCCAAGAAGAGCGACGTCGTGGATGACACATCCGAGGAGCTCAAGGAGTATTCAAAGTATGTGTGTAAGAATTTAGAACAAAAACACTTTTTAACCCCTTTCGCCTTTCCCCATTTTGCAAATATGGCTGAAATCAAATTTCATAGACTGAAAGCATAATTCCCATGTTCATTTTTCTGACTTGTATGTGGTTCCCCCTCCAGAGTGCGCCCAACACCACCCCTGCATTAGAATGAGACAGCTGCTGAAAATGGAAAGCATTATTTTAGCCACAGATTAACTCATTAACATTGACAAACCAATACGGCATGTACAAAGCATCAAATAACCGATCAGGTCTTTGACAACCAGTGAACAACCCTCCCCCAATCACTTTATTTTTAATTGTATTGTAAAAGAAAGGAGAATTATCTCCCCTTTCAATCATTAATTTAATCGTTAAAACTATGAAATAAAGAAATCTCTTGCCTATGTAATGCTATACAGTTTACAGCACTAACACTTGTTTGTGCTATGCTCTTTATCTTGTCATTTTATCTGAACATTATATGGACAGTTGAAGCAGCCACATTCATAGCGATAGAAATGTCTTTTGATTACTGACCCTGACTCCAATCTAAGCGATCCATTCATTTATTTTTGAAACAATTATTTAAGTTAAAATAGTTTTTATTTCATGCTGTTTGCTTTCTCAGCACCAGCCTGAGATTTTTTTCACACGATTTGGACCCATAATGGATATTGATTGCATAGACAATGCACAATAAAATAAAAGCACACACTACAACTCAAGTCTAAGACCGTTTGCAAGAGATTTACGAAGCTGGCCAGGTCTTTCAAGAATCAAAGCCTCAGCATGTATTTCTCAGCGTACTATAAGTTTGTTGCCTATGGAGAGGTTTTGTCTTGTTATAGAAAAACTATAGTTTTGTTCATTGGGTGAAAAATGGGTATATACTGTCTTTGCTGTCTTCATTGTGCAAAAATTGGTAAACTGCAGGATGACTGTAAATTAGCTCTGAAACGTAGACTTCAGTCATTATTTGCCTGAAGTTGGAGTCACTGGGGAGCAGTGTCATTCAGGGTTCAGAACCTGTGTTAAACAGTATTTGAGATCAAGTTAACTTTCTTCAGTGATGGTGTGTGAAATTGCCCGGCTCTAGTGCCGTCGTCCCCAGTGACGGTGTGCGAAATTGCCCTGTTCAGTGAAGAATGCTGCAGGAGCCCATGGTGCAGACATAGGCATGTCAAACAGCATGAATGCAGCCGCTGGCACTCTTGCGCAATACCTGTATAGTCTGTCCAAGTGCCTGTACATTCTTGAAAAATGTGCTTCTAGAAGTGCTTTTTTTTTTAAGTAGCCCAAGGTCAGTAGCTGGTTTTGTAATGTACTGACATTTTAATTCATGTTAGGTCACATACAGAATGAGTTTAACAGGTCTGCATTTCATAATCCAGCTTGTTTGAGGATGAAAATGAAACATACATTATCTTTTAACAATACTATACAGTTTGCATAGGTACCCGGCTTTTGGTTTCTCATTTTATTTTTTAAAATAACTTGGTCACTGTTTTGTGCTTCAGTGAGTTTGGCACACTGGCTGTGGACCTGCTGGAGCAGTCCTTTAGACAGGATGAGACGATGGCGATGAAGCTGCTAACCTACGAGCTGAAGAACTGGAGTAACTCGACGTGCCTTAAGCTGGCTGTGTCCTCCAGGCTGCGGCCTTTCGTGGCTCACACCTGTACCCAGATGCTGCTGTCAGACATGTGGATGGGCAGGCTGAACATGAGAAAGAATTCCTGGTATAAGGTAACTTGCACGTTTTAAATGAAATTGTTTTTTACATGGCCCTACAAAACATTCCTTAGTATTGACCCACCCTGTCCAAAATAGTGGGAATGCTTCACCACCTGCTATGTCCATTGACTCTCTGATTGTAAAGTAGTAGCAAACCGTTTTTCTCCATCTCCTGAGGCTGTTCATGCACATGCCTCTGAAATATCACTGATGTGTAACAGCAGACCTGGCTAATGCAATCTTGCTGAAGGGAAGAAGGGAGTAGGGAGTGACAGTAACGGATTGCAGCTCAGGAAGCTGTGGGACAGGTTCACAGATGTTGTGGGAAGCCAGCTAAGTTGTCCTGTACCTCCATAGGCATGTGAATGTCTGGTGGAATGGATGTGGCAACGTTGCAGCAGTAGTCAGTTCTGTGCTGGAGGTGAACTGACCTGCTGTTAGCATGTTTTCAAATATTTGAGCAGGCAGGAAAATTAAGCCGGCTAGCAAAAGGGACAGTTTTCAGGTTTCTTCTTTTCCAAGCCAAGCTGTCTTTGAGTTCGGTTCTCTTGGGATTTTTAAAATCTTATCTGAGAAGCTCAAAGGAGTATTTTTGGAGAGAAGCAATAGCCAACATTATCATATACATATTTAATCGTTTTTACAGCTGTGGCCTTATAATAAGATTACGCAGGAACAAACATTTTTCAAGAAAGGAAAAACATAAGCTTGAGAACTAGTCTCAAAGAACAGGGTCATGAAAGGGTAGCTGAGATTTTATTTTTATTTGATTTGCCTTGATATTTTTTGCATTGTTATTGCCTTGGTAGTTTTGCTATGAGGTGCTGAACAGGTACCAGCACCTCTGCCTCAGGGAGTCGTGGAAAGGCGTGTATCAGAAATGAGTGAAAAGTGATCTATATGAGCGTTTTCTCTATTTCTAAGAATATATTCAATTTTTATCAATGTTAAAATTCACAGGGGATATTCTCAACCTATGAATCATGTTACACTGGAGGAACAGATGCATTTTCTATTTTTTTTCCCAGGTCATTTTAAGTATTTTAGTCCCACCTGCCATTCTTCTGCTGGAGTACAAGACAAAAGCAGAGATGTCTCACATCCCTCAGTCACAGGATGCTCATCAAATGACCATGGAGGACAGTGAGCACAACCTTCAGAACCCCTCTGAGGACATTCAGATGGTCAGAATTTTTAAAAAGTTCTCCTTGTAAATGTTTGGGCAGTTCAGTTCTCATCCTCTGTTAAAAAGCCATACGCAGAAGCATTTCTGTTGGGATGTTTAAAATTAAGCATGAGCCATCTCCGGGCTATAGACGATGCAGGATACGTTTAAGTTCTGGGATAAATCAAAATTCCTGCCCACACCCCAGCCCAGACGACAAACCGAGTATGTGGTGCCATTTGTTTTCCAGAGGCCTTGTTTCCTCAAAAAGGAATTGAAGACTGGATTTGTTGCACTGTTTTGAAAAAGATAAGCAGAGTGAATTCTCAGGATGGCAGCATTACAGTTTACTTAGCCCACAAGGTTTCTAACTCCTGTTCTTCTTCAGATGTTTCTAAAAATGTGTTGGTGTTTTTCCCCACCATTGGAACATCATTTTCTGAGCCTTGAATGAAGCTGTGGAGTATTTTAAATAAATCTTTTAAGTGCAGTTTTTCGTGCTTCTGACTTTCTTTAAGGATTTAGTCACTGTTGCAGTTAGAATAACGTTGGTCTCCAAACGGATATCACTGCTGACCATTCCTGTGAATTGTCCCCATTTCAAGCGTGAAAACGGTGAGGAAAACGGCTAGTATGCTTGTCTTTCATTGTGCGTTTTTGCGTTTTTGCTTTCCCAGGACGTGTTCAGGGAAGTAAGGATCAATGACAACATCGAGGTGAAGAAAGAAACAGAAGTTCATGTGAGGCCAAGGAGGCTGCCGATCACCAGGAAATTCTACGCTTTCTATCACGCTCCCATTGTGAAGTTCTGGTTCAACACGGTGTGTGCTGTAGTTCACACAGGCGCTTAACATTTACTGCGCCAGCATTTCGTTACGCAGCCTCACCCTTGGGTGTGCAGCTGACGTGGAAACTAGAGGTGCAGGGCATGAGCCCTGGGTTCATCACGAGCTCGCTCAAGCTTTTCCAATGGCCAAAATTTGCTGCAGGCTGGTTTCCAGACGCCCCGTTCATCTCTACCATCATTTCATTTGCATATCTGACCCTGCAAGGCATTATCCCAGGCAGGTCAGAGCACTTGAAGAGCTGATAACATCAAGTACTTAATCACAGTGGGCACAAACATGGAGTTAGACTCTCCTAAATGCCCCTCTGGGCTGTTGGCCCTGAATGGTTTTCACTAACACCACTATCGGTTACACACACGAATGGTAACAATGCCAAAGGACAAATTACTTCTCAGTTTTCTGTTGCTTATGGTCCAGTGTAGGCGCTCTGGAAGTGCCCTTACTTTACATGTTGCAAGTGCAGCAATGGAGGAGTTAAAATCACTTTTCCCGTTGTGAACAGATTATTGTTTTGCATGGCTGAGGCAGAAGTACGGAATTGTGCATTTTTAAACGTAAAAATCATGGCTGTTTGTTGCCTGCTAAAATAATCCAGTTAGCCTTTGACAGATGTAATACAGGGATGAATGATAAATCTGGCTCATTCTCATAAAAGCAAGGGAACTTGATTGCCCTCACCTTCACAGGAGATGATTCTCTCTGTCGTCATCCTTATTAAGTATCACCTTACCACTGCATGGCCATCTACGTGGTGAACAAATAGTCATAAGTAAAGTGAAGTTAAACCATGACTGTGAGTTTTAACATCTCCTCTCTTTGCTGAGGTGTACAGACACAGCCGGTTCTTTACTGACCTGTTCCTCACCTCCGTCCTGCTGTGGCTGTGCATTGTAGTGTTTGCTTTTCGGATGTGTCTTTGTGCTTCCAGGACTGTGTTGTTAACCACGCTGTTGCATGCTTGTCCCATAGCTGGCCTATCTGGGATTCTTGATGCTGTACACATATGTGGTTCTGGTGAAAATGCCAGAGTGGCCTTCTCCACAAGAGTGGATCGTCATCTGTTACATATTTACATCTGCCATTGAGAAGATACGTGAGGTACAGTACCCCCTTTCCTTTCAATAAACATTTTGCTGTTGTGTAATTTGAATGTGTTTGACTCCAGATGCATTCTCAGGTTTCCTTATTGATTTACACTGGGAAACTGAATTTTGTTCTGAAATCCACAGGGAGCCAAAGTGCTGCTGCTCACCTTTAAAAGACCTGGTTGGTTTGGCTCTTGACAACCTCAGTGAACTGTTAATCCCTTTATACACCCACTCATTCTCTGGACTCTGGCCTTTTTCCTGCTCCAACCCTGGGCATTGTGCTTTCTGTCCTCTTCTCCCAGGCAATGGAATGACCTTCCACTTCATCAGCCAGTGGTTTCAAATCCTGTCTTAAAACACACTTTTACACCCTACACTAGCTTTTAATTCTGTGCAGTTTACTGTATTGTGGGCCTTTCTCAATTGCTTTTGCCTTTGCCTTTATATAATGTATCTAAGAAGTTGATGTATAAAATACTTATTGTTGTTTTATTGATAGGTCTGTCTGTGTCTTGGCACTGATTGCATCAGTTTCCTTTGCAGATATTTATGTCTGAAGCTGGGAAGATAGGGCAGAAGATAAAAGTTTGGTTCACCGACTATTTCAACATCTCAGACACCCTTGCAATCGTCACCTTCTTTGTTGGATTTGGACTGAGGTTCGGAAGTGGCAGTGTCATGATTGCTGGAAGAATAGTGTATTGCCTTAATATAATATTCTGGTATGTGCGGCTTCTAGACATCTTGGCTGTAAATCAGCAAGCTGGACCCTACGTGATGATGATTGGCAAAATGGTAAGCATTTTTACTGATTACCTAGAAGATCTTTCTCAAACATTAATGTAGTAAAAGTTCTTTTTGTATTGTGGTGGGCAAAAATAAATACTATTCTATATAAGGTCATCCTAATACATTGTATAATTCTAACATCCCTTGATTTTAGCACTAGCTACATTTGGGAGCATTTGGAAACACGTGGAAACAGATGAGATTTTCGTATACTTAGAAGCTTTTAGGACAATTTCAGAATATTTGGGAGCATTTGTGTACAACAAGTATATATCCTAAGTTTTCCTTTTTATTCCTTCCCTTATACTGTCTAGATGATGAAAACAACGGTAACATTTTGGCATATCATTTTTAGATTTGCATCTAATAAATTTTATTAGACCTGTGTTCTAAGTTATTAATTGAGAGCACAGTAGGTGTATTGGACAGAGGCTTCCTTCTATCTACTGGTGTTCCCCAATCTGTTTATTTGTAAACATGGGCAAAAGGTGCAAGGTCTGATTTAATGCTTGTTGCTTTGATTTGATTAGGTATTGTTTGTTTTCAATTTGAGGTGGCCAACATGTTTTACATCGTTGTGATCATGGCAGTGGTGTTGCTGAGTTTCGGCGTTCCCAGGAAGGCTATCCTATACCCTGAAGAGGAGCCATCGTGGACCTTGGCGAAGGATGTCGTCTTTCAGCCCTATTGGATGATGTATGGTGAAGTGTATGCTTATGAGATCGATGGTAAGCTTTCCGAGCATTACAGAGGAGTGGTACACTGCCATAGCAACCTCAGATACAACTAAGTAGTGCAGGGAGCTCGTCTAATAATTATTATATACTTTATTTATAAAGCACCTTTCCAAAATCCATGGATTCTGTACTTAGTGATAAAAAAGTACGCTAGAAAGTTAAAGAAAATATAAACAAGAGCATTAAAAGTTCTATAGACAGAATATAGAGCAATCAGACATAGTCCCTGATGAAAAGGTGAATTTTGAGTTTGGGCTAGACAAAGAATTTCCATGTAGCTTCTGAGATCTACATTTTTGGGATTTGCTCTTTTAACTCCGTCGTGAATCCTGTATTCTCAAGTGGTCTGTGCCATGGGGAAAGTATTTATTTATAAAGGGGTTTTAATACTGAGTTATCCTATAATCGCAGACTTCAGGCAAATCTAATTATTGGAGAATGGTTGTTCATGGTACTTACAGTTCACCAGGCTCCCAGATAACTTGACAGTATTTAATCTCACAGAGGTGTTATAGAGCTTCTGGATCATGTGACTGTGTGGCAAATCAGAAGCACTAACGCAATAAGGAAACCAAAGTGGTCATAGCCTGCAGCAATGACTTCAGCACACAAATTAATGTGGGGGCATTAACCAATCATACATTTGATCTTAATATTGCACAAGACACTTTTGCCTTTTTAGTGTTTCATGATCTCAACGTGTACAGTAAAACCCCGGTATCTGCGAAGGTTATGTACCTTGAAGTCTCCATACATGGTGAATTTGTGAATACCGAACGTAATATTTTAGGGTATGGTTCCGTGGTTTGCAAAGAAAGCTTTTCCAGAGTAACATTTTTGTTGTAGCTTAACTGTTTCAGACAAAGTGTTTGTGATTTTTGGGAGCAAATTTTTTAACTAATAAGAGTACTGACAACTCAGCATATTCCCATAATTTGAGATCATGCATGTGCAAAAAAATTACATCACTCTTATGATATTATAGCTAACCTTGTATGAGTTTTTTTTTTAATTCTAAGAAGAGTGCAGTTCTTTATTTTTAGCGTTTTGTTTTTGTTACCATTATAAAAGTGCAGGGCTACTGTTCAGTAAAACAATTTATTGTGGTGCAATCATAACTGACAAGAACGTGAGTTGTGTACTAACTCCCTTCCCTCTCAAAGGAAGTTAGTATTTGCAATTTGTCTAATTCTCTCTTATTTCTTTACTTATCCTTGTCTTCAAGAACTGAGACTGATAACTCTGTGGTCCCCTAACCTTAGTTATTTAACGTTTCTTTTATTTATGTTTTATTTATTTAGAAACTGTATAAAGTATAACCCAGAATGCATTGCTACAGTACAGAAACTTGTTAACACTTGTTAACCAGGCTGTGCCTCTTGCTCCGGTGGAGGCTAAAGTAGATGAAAATGCGAAAGTGGGTGTCCATATTAACTTTCCCACTGGTACAGCCAGTGGAAAATGTAATTTACCAACATTGGTAAACGATGGTCTGCAAATGTTGATAAAGTTATCACTAAAAATTTGTGTGCATTGGCATAAATCACAAACATTAAACATCTGGATGTTTTAATGTGCTGAATTGTTAGATATCTCATGGCGTGTGCTCAAAAAGATTAAAAACAAAAATGAAACCACACAAAGATGTGTAATCTTGCAGGGGCAAACTTTTCAAAACTTTTACATTACAGCCTTCTGACTTTCCTGCCAAAAGGAAGCTTCTCATGGTTACTTTGTCACTATAAAAATCTTTACAATACTACCAATGTAGTGTTTTTTTTACTTCATCCTATGTACTGTGTGCACCTGACTCTTCTTCCATTTTTCTTGATTTTACAATAGCTTGTGCAAACAATAGTGAAGTAAAGCACCTTTGTCAAGCTGGAGTATGGATTACACCGTTCCTACAAGCAGTCTACCTCTTTGTTCAGTACATTCTCATGGTCAATCTGCTCATTGCCTTCTTCAAGTAAGTATTCACAAAGGATCTCTTTTAATAGTGAATTTTGTAAGTTGTTTTTAAGATAGATCATAACCTGTGTGTGCAATTGTGTACATAGGCACATTTTCTTTGCTAAAATGTCAGATGATGCCACTGTAACTGTAATAAACTTAGTATACAGGTACTAAGTATACTTCGGTACAGTACCTAGGAACAAGTAATAGGTTTATTCCATGCTGAAAAGAGAAGAAAGAAAACATCATTTCGGCTGTGGAGCCTTCTTCGTGTGCGTGTACCCACCTGAACTATATAGTACCTATACTGAATTGTAATATATTGTATTGTTAGGGTATTGTTCAAAGTCCCTGCTGCCGTACAGCTTCTGTGCATTGTGAAGAACTAGTATCCTTTTCTTCATGAGTGTGATGCCTGAAGCACATCACTTAAATGTTAAATCTCAAAAACAGTAAAACCATTGCATCTTTTAAAATACATGCAATAACTTTGTTTCCATCAACAGCTTTTTACATTTTTAGTTGATATTGAGCAGTGTTAAATTAGATAATTAGTAATCTGGTTTATATTTTTGTGCATGGGTGTAATGGAAAGGAGATGGGAGTTGTCTCTAATCAGCACAGTTTTTTTTGTTTTCTACAGCAATGTTTATTTGCAAGTGAAGGCCATTTCCAATCTAGTTTGGAAGTACCAGCGGTACCACTTCATCATGGCATATCACGAGAAACCTGTTCTTCCTCCTCCTCTGATCTTCTTCAGTCACCTGGTCTCCTTGTTCTCTGGCATTTGTAGGAAGAGGAAGAAGGGCCGTGGGACATATGGACCAAGTATGTATAGTCACAGGCCTCCATTTCTATGTGGAAAAGCATCTAAACATGAGAACTGGTTTATATAAAGAAATGCTAAGCATTTTACACAGCCTATCATCTCAACCCAGTCATTTCTGTTGCCTGAACATTTGCATTTGGGCAACACTCTCTCTAAAATAAATGAGGAAGGCAGACCTGCACAGATAGCTGTCACTCCTCTGTATTTCAGAACTCTTTCTGACAGAAGAAGACCAAAAGAAACTCCATGACTTTGAAGAGCAATGTGTAGAATCATACTTTCATGAAAAAGATGACCAGTTTCACTCGGGAAGTGAAGAAAGAATTAGGGTCACCTCAGACAGGTACATCGATGGCTCTTTTTCTGTAAGCTTGTTCATTTTTAGAAAAATATAACAGCTTAGCCATGATTTGGTTATTGATTTTTTTTTTGTGTGATTCAGCTTTATTGCATCCAAGTAGATAAATTCTTAACCAAATTTGTCTTTAAAACCGTCAACAAAAAGGATTGACTTTTATTGCTTCCTTTCTGCCTAGGGTTGAAAACATGTCCATCCAGCTGAAGGAAGTCGGCAACAGGGTGAACTTTATCAAGCGGTCCCTGAACTCCCTGGACTCTCAGATCGGACACCTCCAGGACCTGTCGGCTCTCACCGTGGACACTCTGAAAGCCCTCACCGCGCAGAGAGCCTCCGAAGCCAGCAAAGTCCACAACGAGATCACCAGGGAGCTCAGCGTTTCGAAGAACCTGGGACCAAACCTTATGGACATCAGTTCGCAGAAATCCTCTGTGTTCGTGAAGCGCAGCATAGGGGCGTACTTTGGGTCGTCCTTTGCGCAAGGTCCAGGGACGATCGCAGACTCCCTGTTTGGTGTGGGGGCACAGACTGAGCGGCAGCCGGACACGGGCGGCCAGGGGCACGGCAAGGACCTCATCCCGAGTCCGGACAGGAAAACTGCAAACATTCCAGAGGCGGGCGCCTCAGGCAGTGCCTTACTCCGAAGTGCCACACCCCCTCCTGAGCTGCGGCTCAGGGGCCATCCCGTCGCCGAGAGGCAGCTGTCCCACCCGGATAACGCAAAGCGAGCCGATTCCCCAAACACCTCGCCCAAAGTTTCCTCCCCAACTGCAAAGTTTTTTGTAAGCACCCCGTCCCAGCCCGGTGGCTGTAGCCCCCAAGAGCCTTCTGCTGAAGGGCGACAAGCTTCCCCACCCGAGAGCTCTGGTGTTGAATTTGGGGCATTTGTTGGTAAGTATGGTGGCGCAAAGAGCATTTATCCTAGAGTTATTGTGTCCAGCTCTTCTCGTGCCGTCAGCTTGGCATGCCCTACCTCTACGCCTGCTTGCGTTGAAAGTGCAGGACACGTCAATCTTGCTTTTCGCGACGACGAGGCTAGTGAGGAAACCGACTGCGATGGGAGGGGCAGAGCTTGCAAATCCAAGTCTGAGCGTGCGGAGGTGGTGGCAGGCACTGGCTTCCGAAGGAGCAGCCCCTTGCCCGGGTGCGAGCTCGCAGGGGCTGTCCAGCTCTTTGGAAACGGGGGGCCCAAGCACAGAGCTGAAGCCGCAGAGGACGTCCAGCTGCGCGCTTTGGGAAAGCATAAGCAGACTGATAACGCTGACGGACCCAAAGGACTGCTGCAGAGGCTGCGGAGCTTGGCCAAACCTCGAGGTTTGAGCTCACACACAAGGGGGTCTGGGCTCTGTGTCTGGTTGAAGGTGACTCTCTTTCACTGGTGCACAGGTCCTTCTCCTCTCCATTCCAATCTTTAGCTGCCTGATCTCTGCCATTTGAGTCATCCGTCTCCTAATCTTAAGATCCGACACTGGTCGGGGTCTGTAGCTGCAGCTTCACTACTATGTCATGAAGCAGTCTGCTTTAACACAGTAATGTGCCACATGTTTGTCAGGTAAAACTGAGCGTTATGTTAAAACCACAAAAGAGGAGGTATTCCATGTGCACTACATATCCTTGATAAAAGCTTAAATTTTTTTTTTCCTGTCCCAAAGGCAAATACCTTACAAATTGTGCCAGTAATGCAAAGCTATCTACGGAAAACAGCTCTGTTAGAAAAACCCAAGTTGTTACAAATACATTGTATTTTAAAATTAAATACAGTCCAAAAATAATCTAAATTAACAAATGACAGGCTGTTTCTGAAGATACTTCAATGGCATCCTTTGTAATGCAGCTGCTCGATACTGTTGCTTTTACTAACATCCAAGGTTTCAAAGGGCTGCATTGGCCAGTGCATGGACTGAAATTGGGTGACCTTTGAATCAATTGGAAACATTGTGATAGAATGTCTAAGTATCGCTGAGGATGTTGTCTTATCAAAGGTGAGGGTGATGTGATTCATCACACTTTTCTTTCCAGGAAAACCTTGTCTTGGGTCACTTAAAATATCTGTATTTTTTATGAAACTTGTACTTATGTTGTCTAACACAAAATCAAAACTTTTAACTATGCTTTAACATTAAATATACATACTTCTTTTGCATTTTCAATTCCTCTTGGACAAGGACACAAAGATAGCCCTGACCTACAGAAACCTACAAAAGATGACACTACCAAAGTCAGTCATATGTCACCATCCAAGGGGACGAGAGACGTGGTAAGTTTTCCTCTACATCAAGAATGGAGAATCTCTTGATGTTCCGTGGCTTTGTTGGGTCTGCAAACACTATTTCCAGCGAGAAAGATTACTCTTTCATTTTCCTTATCTTACAGCCTCAGCTTCTGTAGCAGTCATCTTCATTTTTTATTTTTTTATCTCTTAAAATTCTACTGGAATAGAAAACTAATACATACTAAGAAAGCTTTAGTTTTTACTGTCTTTCCTCTTATGTGATAATCTCTCAATTTTTTTGAAACTTTAAAGCCTTATTAAACTTTCTGATTTACATATGGGCATCACTTGTCTCTGTGCTTTTTAAAATAATTAGTTGTTATATAGATGCACTTGTGGACCTATGAAAGAACTGGGTGGTTCTGGTTGTCGTATTTATTTTTTATCTTTCAGGCTGTTATTTCTTCAATTTTTTGTCATAGAGTCATCCTGAGGGCCACATGAGAGCAGTCAATTCTTATGCAGGATTCACGGAGTTTGCCAGAAACCTTTCAGTACTCCACCCTGAATCATGTAAGGCTCTTCGAGTGTCTGTGCCCACCTTTCTTGACAGAAAAGTGTCCATTCTTAGCAAGTGTCCATCAACACCATATAGTGTCATGGTGTTTTTGTCTTGATTTATTGAGGTATGGATGGGGTCAGAAAGCCTTTTGAGCCTTGCTGGCTTTTCACAATAGCTGTTTTTTAACTGCCAGTGTACAGAGAGAGTTGGAAAACGAATTTTGCTCCATCGAGGAAGGGTATTTTATTTTTGCATCTTTCTTTGAGGATATGAAATGACGTGCATGTAAGAACTTGGATGTAGCGAAGCTGTGAAATTCTCTTTTCTACATGTGCACTGCTTTTTTTATTCAGTCTCCTTTTGTTTGATTTGTACAACATGCTGTTTGCTTTTCCACTTGATCAGCGCTGAGCAGGAGTGGCAGAGATCACAGCAGAGTGTCAGCTGAAGACATTTGCTGCCACGAGGACCTGAAGGCTCCGGGGCTGCTGGTGGGTCCATATAGTTACAGCACTCTGCTCTGATGAAGACATTTCGCTGCATTCGCAGTGATGCACAGAGTGGCGAGAAAGCCTTGCATGCGCTTCTGAGAATAGTCAAGTCGTTGGATTTATAAAAATGTACAGTGAATGCACGTTGTTTGGTCAGTTCTGTGGAAGCAGAAAACCTTAAATCACCTAATGTACATAGAATATTTTATCTCCTGTTTCTAGAACTGTGTGATGAATAAACTTTGATCATAAAGTAACCATAGTTTAATAAGCAGTTTTGCGCTTCTCAGATTCATGCTTGACACCGGATACTTATTATACCTAATTGGTGAATGTATGCAGTTCTGAGTGTTTACCTTTTAAGAGTTTTTCTTTATTTGGTTTACAGGATAGAGTACAAGGAAAGTCAGCACAAGCCAGCAGTCTGTACGTATGGTTCTTTTAACCCATTCTTAAATATTGTCCTGTGATTTTGCCATTGTTTGAGCCTGATAATAAAGTACCTGACTAATTACTGTATCTGGGTGTAATGCTTTCTCTTGCCATAGGCAGCACTCTGCTGACATCAGGCCAGAACTCACAGATTTACCATCTTCTCTTTTCATAAAACACATTTCACACTGGGTGGTTCTGGCTTGCTGCCAGTCTAATATTAGGGTTTCCATGGCAAAATAAAATAAGCAGGCCATTCTGCAGAAGCCGCTAAGGTTTTTGGCACGGTCTGCTATGCTTTTTATATTGTAGAAAAAAAACAATGTTCACAGTTACTTTGTTACAGAAAAAAGTATTCTTGCTTTTGATGAATGTTGTGGAGTAAATTGCATGTCACACATTCAGGTGCGGATATTCTATTTTGAAACTTAATTTATCATTTCTTAGCTGTCAGATACGCATGCACCATTATCGAATTCCATGCAGAATGGCCACCCAGCCATATGCTTCAATGGAAATAATTCTAGAAATATTGTGCAAAGTGGGTAGATGGTGCACGTTTCACAGTTTTAGTTTGTTTAAAAATTCAAAATGTTATCTAACATAGTATATAATATAGACTGGCATCCTGCAGTGTCATTGATTGGCAGACAACCTACCAGAAAGTCAAATCGCCTCAAGAACTACCTCAAAATAAACAGTTATGGTACTGTAGAGTTTTCAACAAGTTGCCAGCGCTCTGGCTCCTGGGAAAGAAAGCTCACATGACAAGAGGCCAGAATTCAAAGTTGCAGCTAATGCAGTCTGATGACCTCCTGAGGTCATGGGAATAACCTTGGTGTAGGTGTTGGTTTCTTTTATTTGTCCTCTGCACTTGAAAATGTACGTACAGTGGAAGACAACATTGAACCGTAAAGGTAAAATAGCTGACTTCAACATCTGTTTACCTAAATATGTTGTCATCAGCATTTTTACCACAATCCATTTACAAGATCTTAAGTACCACCTTTGTTTTTAAAAGACTAGAAGTAAATTGTATTGTTTACTGATGTGCCCGTTTTATATCTTTACATCTCATTCTGCAGAATTCCTGGGGAAGAAGCCTTAAACGGTAAGTTTGGATCTATAAATATTTTTGAAATCGGAGCTCTGTGAATGACCTGACTGACTCATTCATAGATAGGCAACAGCTGGGACGCTATTGTTTGTGGTTACCTTTGAAATTGTTCTAAGGGACAAGTCTTTGGAGTGAGTGATCAATGCATGCCGGTTGTTCATTCATTTAGTGTTTTCTGAAATATCGTAGTAACTGTAATTCTTTTTCTTTCATTGTTATTCCATTACTGGGGAACATTTAAGAATTATTGTAAGTAGTTGTTGAAAGGGTTTTCATTCTTTCTGGAGGACAGCAGGTTAATGAGAACATCCTGTGTAACCTGTTGGGGCTCTTAAAATAATCACAGGTGATTTGAACCTGTTGTTCGAGTCACACTTAACTAACTTGCTTATATCTGGTGTGTGCTGGATCATAGAGGAAGCCCTGTCTTCCCCAGATCTAGGCTCGTTTACCACTTCACAAGCATGGGACAATGACCTTATTTCCCCTTGGTCTAGGACTGCAAAGGATATCTTGTGCAATATTGATATTATTGTTGTTGTTATCATCATGGACTTGGAGCTTTCATTATTTATGACCCTGCTTTATAGGAATAGGGTAAACAAGTGTATCCTTATAATTGAAATGTATTTTTTTATTTCCAGCTACATCATGTCTCTACTCCTCTAGACATGCACACCTCAGTGCCAGAAAAGACTGTGAGCAATTGTATTTTTCAGACTGATTTTTACTGTTGTTGAATGTTCAAAGCCCTGTCCGCACTACATGGCAGTGTTGTTATAAAGCTGTCACACTGCGCCACCTTGTGGCTAAACACCATTGTACTGATGGCAGCATCTTTCTTTGAAGCTTCACAGCATCCTGTCTTTAACAGACATCACTTTATTTACCCTTTACAATCTCTTGCATTAGGAATTATCTTTTCGCATACCCAAGCTTGCTCTCCATGAGACACACAGACACACAGATAGGGAGAGAGCCTGGGTTCAGAGCGCAGGGTCTGCCATTGTATGGCGCCCCTGGAGCAGCTGGAGTTAAGGGCCTTGCTCAGGGGCCCAACGGAGTAGGATTCCTCTGCCGGCTGCGGGATTTGAACCAGCAACCTTCCAGCCACAGGCGCAGATCCTGAGCCACAGAGCCACCGCTCCGCCCCCCGGAGGAGCGTTAGCCACAGTGAAAGTCACAGAGCTTAACATGTTAAATGTTTAGCAGATAGATTGCTGCTGTTCTAGGAATACAGGTCTTGATCACAGCAGTGTTCATGTACATGTTAAAGTATGTCATGTAAAGCTCTTACATGCGTTCGTAAGGATCTACTTTATTTAGACAAAAATGAAATTATTCTGTTTTTTCTGTTTAGCTGTTGGATCTCCTTTCAAGCCAACTTTGGATATAAGTTATCAATATTCAGGTGAGACATACAGAATTATAAATTTTACAGATAAGTCTGTTGCTAGAAAGTTATTTCTGAATGGAGATTTGTTTTTCTCAAGGCTCATGTGTTTTTTTTTTTGTCAATCTAGCTGTGGAGCGAAATAATTTGATGCGGTTATCACAAAGCATTCCATTCACCCCAGTGCCGCCAAAAGGTAAGGAGATATAAAAGTAGAATAATCTTTTCCAGTCTCGTGTTGCTTTTCCCACATGCCAATTTCAATACCATCGTACCCCCGCCCGGCAGGTGAGCCAGTCACTGTGTACCGTCTGGAGGAGAGCTCCCCCAACACCATCAACAACAGCATGTCGTCCTGGTCCCAGCGGGGGCTGTGCGCCAAGATCGAGTTCCTCAGCAAGGAAGAGATGGGAGGGGGCCTGCGGCGCGCCCTCAAGGTCATGTGCACCTGGTCGGAGTATGACATCCTGAAACCAGGACACCTGTACATAGTCAAGTCCTTCCTGCCAGAGGTCGTGAACACCTGGCAAAGTATCTACAAGGAAGATACTGTCCTGCATCTCTGTCTCAGGGTAAGAGCCCGAAGAAGATCTTAGCTGCTTATTGGGTTTTTTTAAATTGATGTTTGCCCTGCTTACGCTGCAGAACCGCAAAAGCCATGGCAGTTAATTCTTGCTTAATTTTAAGGATATTTTATTATTTTTTTTAATTTCCAAAACGGAAACCGTGCTTCATCGGCACTATACAACATTGCAACCAGCAGATTATCTGTTTACTGCTCAAGGTAATGTTTATTTTTCTTATGAGAAATCCAAAAATGGAGCAGCTGTTTAAGCCAGAGAAAGTAATAACACTTCTAGAGGATATTCCAGAATCCCCCAGACCTTAACTCGCCTCCTTACAGATTGAACAGAACACATCTGCTGTTCTGCAGATTTTGTATTTCAAAATACTTCTCCTTTGGCTTATTGTTTCTAAAGTTGCTGTTTTTTTAAGATGAGTCCCTCTGCTTCTGTGGGAGAGGTAGTGGAAATACTCACGAGTGCACTAGAGGCAATGATTTCCTTTTCCTTTTGTCACATAGTGTCCAGAATAGTCCGGCACCTCCTCCAGTGCCCTTTGTCTGCCCGGAATGAATCCTTACCATTTGGCAGAAGCTGATAATTCATTTTCCGTGTCACATGCTTGAAGCAGGTTTTCTTTGGGTGGCAGTGTTGGAAACACTGTATGCTGACAGTCAGTGAAGGTCCTCCAGTCATTGCAGCCAGAAGAAGGTGGTCTTTTGCTTCCCACTAGAACACGGGTGTACACATGCGTTCTGTGGTGTAGGATTCTTCTGAGGATGTGGTGATGTTGATGTGAAAGAGATTTGATAAGTAGGAAAGTATACCTGGACTCGGCAAGAGCTCCCAGGGTGGAAATGGGAGAGGGGAGAGGGTATAAATTTCCCATTTCCTTTATGCAGAATTTCACAATGCCCAGGCCGTCCTGTGGCGCTAGAGGGAGAAACCCCACCAGACATCTGCTCTTGGCTGTGGTACTGAAGGGCAGTGGCTGGCAGCTCAGTAGCTTTAATGACATGTTTTTCTGACTGCAACAAGTAGCAGCCTGAACAGACAAATCAAGTTCATGAGACAGCAGATTGGTTTCCTTCCACAGTGCAGTAAATTCAGAGTTAATGTGCAGTTGTATTGTTAATTCACTTCCGAATTTAGAACCATATCTAAGCTACTGGTCATGCTTAAAGAAGACATTGTGTGGTCAGACCTTGATGCATTCTGTCTTCCGTTTAGCTTTGGGAATTTTTTTAATTTATTTTAGTTGTGTTGAGGCTCACAACATTCCCTTTTTCACATACATACAAAAGACACAAAGACAAAATACAAATGGACACAAGGGGCGTGTAAAATCGAAAAGTTCTAATGATCTACTGCATTTTGGTTACTGCCACGTTACTGGGAGTCTCTACGTATCTTTACCATTTTGGCCATCTTGTTAAAAATATATGGTTTTGATTTAGAATGCTGCAGGTATTTTTCTCTGAGATATTTCATTCATAGAGACCTTCCAAGATTAAGCCCTAGTTCTGTCCAATTCAACATGTCTCTGGTGACTTGTTTCGTGGCTGCGAGTCTGATTAGTCAGGTTTTCCCCGCAGTTCCCCCTGCAGTTTGTACTGAGAGATACTGTATAGTGGGGGTTCTAAAATAACAAATAACATAAAATAACATGCAGGCAAGTTGGAGGTTTTATGCGGATTTAAACGTCTTTCCAATGCTTGATTGTGATGCTATTGCCGACCCCCATTTCCCATTTGGGAATTTGGAAGGTCTGTATATTTCATTGTTATATTCTGGCTCAAATTGTCTTTAAGAAGCTTCTAACCTGTAAATATCTATGGAAATGAGAGTTGGAAAGGCCACTTTTCTCCACCAAGTGTTCAGATGCAACAGTTCCATCTTTGTCAATTAGCTGACAGTATAAACCATCCTAATATTTTTTTTAACATGATTTAACTCTTTGGTCTTCAGGATGAACAGTGTGTTTTGTGCTGGGCTCTTGGTCAGAGTCATTGAATACAAGCCTGAGCTCCAAACCGAGTTGTTCAGTAAAGTATTTCTGACTACCAGCCTGAGTGCAGGGCGACTCCAGCTGGTTTTGGAGTGTGAGTGCTGTAACAGGAGCACATGTTAACTTGACAAATGCTTTCGTTACAGGAAATTCAGCAGCAAAGGGCAGCTCAGAAACTGACCTTTGCTTTTAACCAAATGAAGCCGAAGACCATTCCATATTCTCCCAGGTAATTTCAGCCACCTGTCTCTCTTGCATGCATACATGCTGTTTTTTGTATTTCCACACATAATTTACATTGTAGAGCAATATTAGGCCTGTAAGGTCGAAAGCCTCCCTCTGTAGGCCCTGTAGCAGGGCCCCCCAGCTCTGGTTCCCAGGATCCACATACTGTAGCTGCTGTAGTTCATTCCATATCAGCTCTGTTACATCATTTTTCTTAATGACAGGATTAAATTGAACACTTTGTTTCCATTTTCTAAACATTGTGGAAATTGCCTTTTAACTATTGTGTTTTCCATCCATCGGTTTTCAAACCTCTTCATCCCATTTAGTGGACCCAGAGCATATCCTGGCAAGCAGTGGGCAAAAGGCAGGGTACGTCTTGGATGGTATGCCTGTCCATTGTCACTGGGCCAGTTTTCCGAAAAGCCAATTAACCGACAGGATTTTTGGGGGGCTAAGGGAGGAAACCCACACAAACACAGAGAGAACATACAAGCTCCATGCAGACAGCACCTCAGGTCCGGAGCTGAACCCAGGATGCAGAGCTGTCAGGCTGCCTTGCTGCCCCTAAATGAGTTTTGAATAGAAATAAAAGTTCCAATCAGTTTGTTAGTTTAATTTAATTCTCAATTAAGGAAAGAGATCTGCTTGAGTGATTTCTCAAGTTCAAGGCTGGGAGCTTCTGTCCTATAACAAGCTAGCAAAAGATCATAAGATTTCCTTGTATACAGTCCTAGATATGTAATTTACAGTTCATATTTTGCTTTAAAGTGACTGATGATCATTTTCACAACTTTGCTTAAGAGCTTGATGATTTGTGAACCCTGCTGTAATTAGTAAGCTAAGTGGTGTTTTTAAAAGGACTTTCAGCACTCTGTAAACGTGTTCCGTGATTGTGGCAGGGATATGGCCTGCTCCACCCTGAAACGGCTTAGAGGGAGGGAGAAAGACACAAAGAGACTTTGACTTTGAACCTGTACCCCGGCTAAAGTCCTTATACTGAATAGGGTTGCCGGCTGGCTCTCTTGCCATCAACCAGATCATCTGTTGCATCCAAGTTCAAACAAATTAAATTGCGTAAACTAAGCAGATTTGTATCATTGGTTTGTTCTCTTTGTGTCAGCCAAAACTTCCAGTGAAGGGTTGGAAGAGTTAAGTGGTGGTGTAGAAAAACTCATCCTGCCTGATCATGTCCAGGTGATGTGTGGCCAGGTGGCTGCCCTGATTCTGAGCAGCATAAGACTCCAGATCTTTCCACACACCTCCTTAGCTAGACGTATTCACACTTATTTTCGATAGACACCTACATTAACATCCCAGATGCCTTCTAATTTGTCTTTGGGTTCTTTTCATGTAGGTAAAATTTACCACCATGTCTGTTTCTTAAAGGTTTCTGGAGGTTTTCTTGCTGTACTGCCACTCTGCTGGCCAGTGGTTTGCTATTGAGGAATGCATCACCGGGGAATTCAGGAAGTTCAACAACAACAATGGGGATGAGATAATTCCAACCAACCTGCTGGAAGAAACGATGCTTGCCTTCAGCCACTGGACTTATGAATACTCAAGAGGGGAGCTTCTGGTACTGGACTTGCAAGGTGTGGTAGACTTGTGTGACCTTTGAGCTAAAGGAGATACTGCACTACCACGGTTCTCCACTATTGGTCAGAGGACCTATCAGATTCCACAGACACAGGATAGGTGTGTAGGGGGTTGGAGGGTGTTGCTGATAATCAGACATCAGTGAAATACTTAGGAAAGTGGGGATTTCTGTTAAGATTACATTAAACTACAGATAAGAGCAGTACTGTTTCTGCCTCGAAACTTAATGTAATTTCTTAATAAAACCACTAAGGTAACTGATTCACAAAAAAAATGTTCAGTTTTTTTAATATAATTTATTAGTTCTTTATATGCTCCACCTGTTGTGTTAGTCACATGAACGTTTGAAAGACGTGTGTAAGGCAAGTGTGTGCTTATCTCTAAGCTCTGGCCTTCTTCTCAGGTGTCGGGGAGATCCTGACCGATCCCTCAGTGATAAAAAGTGGAGAGAAAGGGTGAGTATTAGGATTCCCTGAAACAGCTTGTGTAGCTGAAGATTAAAGTGTAAATAGTGTTAAACATGACTTCTCTCTCTGAGTCCTGGACATCTGAACTGATGTACATCCGTATATGGTTCATATTTACTCAAGCAGCTGTGGGTTTGAGTGAAGGCTGTAAAGAGATTTGTTCCTGACAAAGTTTTATGAATAGTTCATACATATTTGATATCACAACTTTAAAAAAACGTTTGTGATCAATTCAGCCTTCACTAGAAACGTATTTTTTTTTAACCAGAATCTATTCTGCAGGTCTTACGACATGATTTTTGGTCCAGCAAACCTGGGGGATGATGCAATAAGAAACTTCCGAGCTAAACACCACTGTAATTCCTGCTGCAGGAAACTCAAACTGCCAGGTAGGGGTATTCCTTTCTTTAATTACAGTTGCGCTGGATTGGGAATTGCTGGGAATATAGCCAGGGCGGTGCGGTGGCTCTGTGGCTCAGGATCTGTGCCTGTGGCTGGAAGGTTGCCGGTTCAAATCCAGCAGCCAGCAGAGGAATCCTACTCCCTTGGGCCCCTGAGCAAGGCCCTTAACCCCAACTGCTCCAGGGGTGCTGTATAAATGGCTGACCCTGCGCTCTGACCCCAAGCGTCTCTCCCTGTCAATCTGTCTCATGGAGAGCAAGCTGGGGTATGCGAAAATAAGTTGTATATGGCCAATAAAGTGGTCTTATCTCTTAGAATCGAAGAGTTTTTATAACTGCAAATGATTGTTCCAGTGTATTAACTTTTATTTGTTACTGTAACAATAATTATTAATTGTAAAAATCATCCTTTCTACAATACTGTCATTTGCCATTTTCTACTGCTTTCATTTTTTTTATAATTTTTTTTTTGTTTATTTTTCCTCTTTCCCTCTGGGTGAGCTCAGATCTAAAGAGGGATGATTATACACCTGACAAGGTTACGTTACCCCAAGATGACACACCTGAGATTTCGATTCAGCCTGGGAGCAGTACCAAAGAACAAAAGCACTCTATTCGCCTGATGCTGTAAGAGGAATCGCCAGCTTTAGGAGGGAGAGGAAGTACCATGCTTGTGTGCTTAGGGGTGGTGTGTATCTGTACCTGGAGAAGGAAGGTGCATGTGGATAGTATATTTTTCCTAACATTTAAAGTCTTGTTCATGCACTGCATGATTTGAGCACAGTAATCCCAGTCTCTAGAGCTGCAGGGTGGATGAGATAAATAACGTGTGACTTTCTGCACTGTGGTCACAGACCCAAATGTGACCGATCACAGTCTGATACTGCAAGCCTACAACAGGCATGATATCAGGAAATTGTTAGCTTCCACATGTAGTATGACCAGATTTCCAAACGTGTATTAACTAAAAGGTCTTCAGTAATTTGTATGGTATGTATGCGTTCAACCCAGGGCTGGTACGCTCTTGAGTCTCTTGGATCTTCAGAACGGGACTGGAGACCAAGAATTCCCGTTGTGTTAGAGAAGAATTGACTATGTGATCAGCTAGTTAAAGTGTGGTTTATTACAGTAAAACACGGGGAGAAAACTAAACTGAGGAATTGTGAAGAGGCTCAGTCCTTGTGACCGCGAGTCCCTCTGCTCAGATCCGGAAGGCCAGCAGCGTCTGTTCCTCCAATTTATGTCCTTGATCATCAAAGCAATGGTAGTTACTGACGCTTACATTCATTTGACACAGATACAGCTAGGTAAAACAATAAAGGACTCCCTTTAGTATAACATTTACACACCTGGACACAGAGCGCAAAACTACAGTACTGTATTTTACTCAAGAAGTGCATGTGTTAAACTGGTACAGGATTCCTGTAGCTTGAGCCAAACAGTGCTCATCTAAATTGTGCACATCTAAATGATATTCAGATATTACCTGATATATAATTTTTTAATTATTATAATTAATATTTATTGTAGTTATTATCAATGTAAAGCCTTTCAGTTAATATGCACATCATTAAGTCAAACTGCTAAAGCCTAACAGATGATATTTTGTGCTGGCAGTCCATGCACATCTTATCAGTTTTAGTTGGACACCTGTAGCCACATCTGGGTCTGAGACTGCTGTTCTCTGAAATAGTCCAGCTCCTGGCCACAGAGAGATTTAGAGACAAGGTGCAATTACAAAGAACCATAATGATTTCACGTTATGTAAATGAGAAGAAGATGGCTTTTAAGATTTTTGATAAGTTTTTGTTAAATAATGGTATATAAAGTGACTATCAACTGGTACAATCTCATTGTATAGATGGTTATGGTATTTATTATCAATTATGAGAAGTTGCCTTGTACAAAAAACACATTTTAAAAGCAGTCTTTATTTTTGTTTTTTTGGTTGTGGCAGGTTTGTAAAAGAACCTATTCAGATTCAGACTCTGCAAGAATTTATCTAAAGCAGAATGTGTAATCAAGATTTTTTTATAAGTGTAAAGTCATGTAGAAAAACCTGTATTATGTTATTTGTGGTACATACTTTATAAATACACATGGATTGAAATCTTGTACAAATGGGCAGATTGCAATGCAACTTTTTCAGTACAGTGTATGTAATTTAATAGTCCTACAATTTGTTGAACTCTCAATAATGAACTTTGTCCACCAAAAATTGTTTTAAGGTGAGAGTTTTATGTTACAAAAGCGGTACTATTGTTGTTTTTAAAGTATTGTAAGAGCATATTTTAATCTAGTGTATCTTATAGATACAGTTATCTGGCACGAACAAAATAGATAATGAAATAGTAGGTTATTTTATGAAGGGGAATTGTTGAACATATTATGGGTACAGTACTGTATAAATTTTGTATATCACTTAATCTAATAAAATATAAAATGTTGGAGTACCATTCTTTTCACTTTTTGGACAGTTTTGTGCTGGCTGTAGCTTCCTTTACTTGCCTGTCCCCAGTCTTTCCACCATGTTCAGGACTGATCTCCATCAGCAGGAGGGAGGTTGGATAATCACACAGATATTGCATGTATTTTTTCTTCTTTTGAAGAAGGCAGACATTCAGCACGCTGCCCTCGCTGCCCCGACAGGTCCAGAGCGTAGGCCTGTCTGGGGGGAGAGAGGTCTGATTCTGGCCTGACATCTCTGGGGCTCTGATGCTTGTTCTAGTTCCTCTCGCAGGACACCCATTGTTGGCTCCACTCTTCAAACACATCTCAAAATTCCCCAGTACAATTATTTTCTTGTTTAAAAAAAAATCCTGTTCTGTATTGTAGATGTTGTACAAATGTACAAATGTATCATTTCACAACTGCCTCTCAACAGATGTAGGTAGTTAAAAGTTCTCTTATTTGAAGGTGAGAAGTACAGTATGTTTCTCTGTGGTTTTCACTAGGTGTCTGAGCATGATATAACGAAAGCATCACAAGTTTCAGCAATGCTTGATCCTTTGACTTTACAAGACCAACCATCAAAGTACAGTTTTGATGCAGCAAATAACAATTGGGACACCACACATCGTTGGTTTTACTTTGAGATGAGATGCAGAAAGAGAACTAGGACACCATCTTGTCCAAGATGTTTGTTTTTTCCAGACTGATTGAGGAACCTACTAGGAACCATGTGATAACTTCTATGCACTGATAAATTGACAAGAGGGGTATATATTCTACTCTGAGTTGCCAGAGGAGCTAACCGCACTGGTGCAGGAAAAACGCAAAAAGAGTTCTTGTTCGGAGCAATTCTCCAATACTGTGCCTATATACTAGTGTCTGAACCACATTCTATACCTTTACCCCGAAAAAAAGTGCTGTGCATATTGAAAAAGAGAGGGGGAAAATGTGATGGTTTCAATGCAGAACTTTATCATACATAAAGCTCCGATGACAGGATCTTATGTAACCAAACTCTGTTGAACATATTGCTTTTTATGTTAATGAAAGCACTGCCGTCAACCAAGTTCAGAAATGGGACATTACAGTGCCGGACTCGAAAGGCATGCGAAGAAGTAGGTAAAAAACAAAATTCTTATTGCTCGTATATTTAAGTTAAAAATACAGGCTTCCGAGATTTGCTTAGGGTATATTTTCCAACCCCTTGATTTCCACACACCTTACTTTGCTCCAGTTGAGCAATAACAATTGTTCAGCGATAAAAGAAAAAACATCCGGCGCCAACTTTTCCTCTCGTCACGCCGTGTTCTACGTTATTCTGCTCTTTGAACTTACAATTCGCAGGGAACTGAGATTCGTACTTGAAGTTTACAGTACTGTCGGTGTTGTTATTCTCTTTCGGGAATGTGTGCGGGAGCTCTCCTCCCCCAGGAGGATGCAGTGCGCGTTTCTACCTGTGGGTTTCCGGGTGTGGCCCTTTAAATACTAACCAGCAGCGCCCGGCGCTTGATAGGAAACTGCAGCAGAGCTCTGTCCTCTTTTCTGGAGAAAACACGAACGAGTGCCGGTCTTTGACAGAAATGGCAGTGAGGGTATACGTGGAATATTGGTAAACTTTAGAATGTGTTCCTGATATGTTCAGATTACTTTTTTAATCTATTACCTGTTGTAGTCTAGATGAAAATGTAGTGTTGTTGTCAATAGGAAAGAAAGTGTTTATTCGCCATTTGTAAACAAAAAAAATGTTATTAGAGGCAGGTAAGACGTACTTTTTAGGAACGACAACTTCCTTTTTAATCACCACGTAGTTAAGTCCAGAAAAATTATCCTTAATTTAGTTAAGAACCAGAACACACTGTGCTATTGGAAATCTCCGGTGGTGACCCCAATGTGACTCGCTCTCGTTAGGGATTATTCGTGAAATACGAGTCCTTGTGTTATGCCAAGACTTTTTCTCTAGAGTTCCTGAGCGCACACCAACTGAAGGGTGCCTTTTGCGCAGGCTGTAATTAACAGTGAAAGAGCGACTGTGGAAAAATAAGTAAATCGTCCCTTAATTCTAGTTGTGTTTGTCGATAGTGGCGCATGAGGCTACGCATCGCGCTATCAGAGCCTTGCCAGTGAGGTAAAGAAGCATGTTCCTGAAGCCGAAGTCTCTGGAAGCACAGGACGAAGGAGTAAGTATTGGAACTGATGGTGATGTCATTGTCTTACCTAAAATACAGTTTTTTAAGTTAGGAACTCTTTTCTGTGCTTGAAAACGGTATGTTAACAATGGATCTAATCGATTTGTCTGAAGGCAAGTGAAACAAGCCTTTCAAAAATGTTTTTCTTCCACACAGCAAGCTTTGAAATCACTGTCAATGACCAACTTATCTTCTCCAAACTGGAATGCAAAGGCTTTCCTGACACCAAAGAGGTGAGCTGAGTGATTTGAATGAAAGTTGTAAATCTTCATTTCAATCGATCATTTCCTGCAAAAGTTTCCCTTGTTTAGCAGGAAATAGTTTCTGCACAGTACTGTCAACCATGACCAAGCAGTTTACAAGAGCAGCCAGCTCCTGACGTGAATGTCTTGTATGTTTTTTTTTTTTGTTTTGAACATTGAAGTCACTTTGCTTGTGTTGTAGGTGATCGAGGCGGTCAGACAAGCCAGCCGCGGAGAGAAAATGCAGGTGGTGAAAAAGAAGGACAGCTGTGTGGTCATGTAGCCAGGTCATGAGAGAGGGAACCAATTCTTAGCCTGTAGACAGCGAACCGATTCTGTTAATGACTGTCTCCATCGAAAACCATACAGTAGGTGGGCACACGACTAACTGAGACTCTCTTCTCTTGATATCCACATTTTAAGAATTGATTCCCATCCTTGTTTTCCTGAATATAATACTTTTATCTATATTATTTTATGAATGTGTTTCTTTTTCTCTGCGCCCTGAGATGTTTCCGTTTTAGATTTCCGTGGAAGAAGAACACCCACAAAAGTCTTTTAATTTACAAATTCGGTTTACAAAACCTTGCCTTTTCTTTTTCATTTTTAATGTAATGAGAAATAAAAGGCCAGAGTGCATTTTTGATGCATTAAGAGCAAAATGCCCTTTAATTGTGTTAGCTGGGATGTTTGCTCCTTTAAGGAGGCGCAGCAGGATACAGTATGTCTTCAAGTTGGGGCGCCTGAGCAGATTGGCACCCACACCATTTCCATGATGGGAAGCTGCATCTCAGTCCTCTTTCCTCACTCCCTTCCCTGCAAGCGGGTTCACCTGCAGCCAATGGTCTTGACATTGAGGTGTTGGGACTGGCTGTGTTCAGCAAGGAAGGGGGCTGCAGGAATGACCAAACCCATCTGAAAGGCCCTGAGAGTTGAAAGTGGGGGTTTTGTCTAAAGAGCGCTCTATTAAAAGGATACATTTGCTGGAAGGAAATAGTATTCCTGTGTACATGCATTCATTTTTGTAGAGCTATTGGGGAAACAAACCATTAATGTTTTTAAAGCAGAACATCCTTCTTTTTTGTTTTATTGATAAGGAGATGTCATTACCACTTCCTTAATACTTGCTTAATGCTCTGTACTGTATCCCCTTTGTGTATAATAAAAGATGTTTTGCATCTCATTTGGCTGCTTTCTTCAGAAGTTGATAATAGTTGTAAAGTGGTTGCTCTGTATCTGTGGGGAAACTGGCAGTGACATTGGGTGATTTAACACACAAGAACCATAGATTGTTCAAAAATAACCTTATTCAAAGAGGTTTACCAGGTCTATCTGGGCAGATCATACCTTAGGATCAAGTGTTTTTTTTTATTGTGAATCAGTTGAAAATATTAATGCAGTACAATTTTAAGAAGCTAGATAACAATTCCACAACTCAGTTTGCCTGCAATTCAGTTTAGAATTCAAACCACATATCTTGTCTTGTTCAGAAATGCTTTTAAAAGAAACAATCAGATAAGCCTGTCCTCGCTGTCGTTTAGGGGTTTGTCAAGCTCTGTGAGAAACTGTAAGGAAAGGGGAGTCTTGTTTGACAAACAGTTGAACGATTGAATGACGGATAAGATCTGACCATTTCTCTTATGGTTATGATTCCTGTGTGCAGAGTGATTTCAAAATGGTTAAAATAAAAACTAGAAGATCTGGGACTAGTAAAAGAATATGAACAAAAAGTGTGAGAGTTGCCATAAAAATCATGTGTTCACACAAAGGATCATGACATAACAGAATAATACTGACTAAATATACAGGACATGGTAGCTCCTGAGTGCTGTGCATGTCACACTGTTTTTATAAAAACACTAACTGGGAGGAAAACAAGCTTATTTAAATTGTTAAACCTGGATGTATACCAGCAATCTATGATGTCACAAAGCTCCAAGGTCAGAGACTTGTATGATGAGATCATTACCTCACACCTCCATCTACAAAGAAATCACTGAATACATCATGATGGAAATAAAAAGATGAAACTACATGGAGGATAACAGGACGATGTGAGTCATTTTCTGTAACTGGGTGTTTGTCCACACATATAGAAATGAAATACTTCATAAATTGGATTTTAATGCAGAATTTAAGATAAAAGTATTGCTGAATCTTTTTTAACAGATTGTCAATTAATAACTATCAACACACAGTTTGTTCTAAAGGATTGTTAAGCAATCTATAATCCCGACTTTTTCCTGGTTTCCTGTATTCATTGAATAATTGGGGGATGGGGATGGGATATGTGCTGTCAGGTCGGTGTGAATTCATGGCTACCCTATCGATAGTTCCCCCCGTCACTATTCGTGGAGTTTTCATGGCACGATACGGGAGTAGATTGCCAGTCCTTTCTTCCATGCAGATAGTGCGAGTGTTGTTGCTGTTGTCATGGAAACTTGATCCTCCACTGCCAACACCTCCCCATACTGCTGCTGTTATTAGAGAACCTTGCACCTGACATGGGACACGAACTCACTGCCCTGAGATTATGAGTCTCATGCTCTACCAACAGAGCTAGTCAGGGCTCCTTGAATATTTATCTGATCTTTATTCAAATTAAGGTACTAAAATACACCATAGACACATACCTGTTTTCCATATGTCTCTCTGCTTATATTGTAACTTTCATGTTAAGCCTCAAAACCATGTAAAACTTCTGTTTAAATTAGCAAAATCGTTTACTGTTTATAGTTACACTAATCTCTGTTTTAGTGTATAATAATAATAATAATTCCTTACACTTATTTAGCACTTTTCCGGACACACCACTCAAAGCGCTTTACAGGTAATTGGACTCCCCTCCACCACCATGTACAGCAGCCATAGTGCACCAGTACACTCCCCACACATCAGCTCTCAGTGGGGGGGAGAACAGAGTGATGAAGCCAATTCATAGATGGGGATTATTAGGGGGCCATGATTGGTAAAAACCAGGGGGAAATCTGGTCAGGACACTGGGGTACCACCATTACTCTTTTCGAGAAACAGCCTGGGATTTTTAATGACCACAGAGTCAGGACCTTGGTTTTATGTCTCTTCTGAAGGACGGCGCCGCACCTTTTTACAGTATAGTGTCCCCATCATTATACTGGGGCATTAGGACCCACACAGATGACTGGGACTGGGAATGCCCCCTACTGGCCCCATTAACACCTCCTCCAGCAGCAACCTTAGTTTTTCCCAGGAGGTCTCTCATTCAGGTACTGACCAGGCTCACTACAGGAATAACATTCTTGTTTCGTATGAAAACTGAAGTGTTTATGATTAGTTCTGCTTTGTCTACACTTGAGTACGCTTCGAAAACTGCATGGATGGCTACAGCAGAGCTTTTCAGCTATTCTTTTCACTCACAACTATGTGTTTTTGCCTGGTGTGGTGACTGCCTGCCTCTTGAAACAACCTGTTTGGCAGGTCCTGATTTATTTTTACCTAGCAGGGTTGTAAGTTGCCAGGTTGCCAGGGGACAGTTGTCAAGGTGCTCCGGCTCTCACTCGGGCTGACTCCCCTAACTGCCAACAGGAGTCTCCAAGGAGCCTGGGAACAAATGAAAACTAAACACCTGTACCCACAGGAGCGTCTTCACTGTCACACATGAATAATGAACTGTCTGAAAGACAGTTCTGGAAAATGAATATGCAATAATCAACCCCTGTTTCAATTTTTTCTATAAATATGTCACATTGCCTCCCTTATTTCCAAGGACAGTTGTTTCCACTTCAAAGCGAGAGTGGCTGTTGTTTGGCCCGGTTTTTAACAACTATTTTATAGGTTGTGTAATTTCCTGTGAATGGACCGGCATCTCTTACAATGGATTTCTATTACTCTTAGCTGGACAGTCCACAGTGTCTTAAATTGTTTGTCGTCTCTGTATCTTGATTTTTTAAAAGAGTTTTTTAGTTTCACAGCCCTGTATCTCAGAGAGCGGGTGGAATCACATCGAGAAAGGAGATTGTAACTGTGTGGTATGACCTCTGTGCTCCCACACAGCTCTCGTTTACAGGTGTGCTGCCTGGAGTCGCACCCACTGAAGGAAACGGACCTACGGCTGTTAACCCCTCCTTCCCTGCTGTTGAAAGGTGCTAGGGAACATGTCTCAACAGGCCTTGTCTGAAAGCGATAACATCTCGGTCAAGTCAAAAGCTTACTTGATGGTGCCTGCTGCACTATTCTGAAGTGCAGAGCTGTGTGTTAGAGCGCGTTGGGGATTAGCTGCTGTTTGCAGCAGGGGAGCACCGAGTCTGCAGCCCTGGGATGGGAATGCAGCATTGAGCCAGTATGACATGGCTGTGGATACCAGCATCGCTGTTGTCTCAGAGGTTCAGTGGGTGCCAGAGGAGTGCCCCCTAGTGGAGCTGGTGACTGTGGCTTCCGAGCAGGACAGCCTGTGCAGCCAGATCCTGTTCAGAACTCGCAAAGTGAGACCCGCGCCGGAGGGGTATAAAGTCAAAGCCTGTCCCACAGGAGTGCAGGGTGGCCAGCCAGCCAGGGAGGTGTTGCTGCAGCTGCTGGGCAAGAGTGAGATCCAGGCGCTGTGTAAAAGGATTAACTCGCAAGCTGCGGAGGACAGCCCTGGGCCCACCGCGGAGCAGGGTGGCTGGAAAGCTGTCCAGCCGGCGGACTTCCTGGCCTGGCTGGCCGTCGCCCTGCAGGGCGGTCTTTCTGCGGACCTCCGTGACAGCAGAGTTCACCACTCCTTCCCTGTCATAGAGAAATGGCAAGAAAAATTCCAGAGAGGCCATTTCCGGGACATTCTGCAGCATTTAGGTGGAAAAAAGGAAAATGAAGAAGAAGCGTGGGAAACCTTTTACAGCTTGCAGGGAAAGATCTCTAAAAACTTCCAGTCCCTGTACTCACCTGGACAGAAGCTTTGCATTAAAAAATATGCATTATCGTGCAGAGGACAGGCAACCGGGACAAACAGTCTCAGACTGGCCCTTCTGTGTGATCTGGAAAGTGGGTATATTTGTAATTTCTACCTGTACTCTCCTGCTAGGCTTAGTAAACACTCCAAGTGTCCTGTTGTGGAGCAGGTGCTTCACCATCTCCTCCGGCTCTATTACAACAAGGGGTACCAGGTGCACATGGATGGCTCGGCCAGCACAGAGGGCAGCTTGGCCAAGCACTTCTCCAGCCTGGGCATACAGCTGCACTTTGTGAGTTTCTGGGCAGGAGAAGAAACGCCAGTCAGGCCCATCCGTCTCTCTGCCTCTCAGCAGTGGAGCGCCCCCGCTGGCCCTGAGGAGTTTGCAGCTTCGCTCAGCTCTCACCTGAGAGGCTGGACTGGGCCTGTCATCTTCCCACGCCCCCCTGGCAGCGCGGAGTCTTCGTCAGCAGTGTTCTTGACAGGGTTCTGGCTGGTGGCACACCTGGGGAGCATCAATGCCTTTGTTCTCAGTACCCTCCTGTCCCAGGACCACAGCAGTGAAGTCTGCCTGTATGATTTTTCTACACGCCTGGCAGCTCAGCTGGCTTGTGAGCACTTTGTGTCCAGTCCACTGTCACCGGCTTCCCTCTCAAGTTCTTCCTGCAAACCACATTTCACAGAGATGCCTGCCTTGAGGTTCGTCTGCACGCCGTTGCCTTCTTGGCTCTTGAGAAGCAGGAAGTGCTAATGCTCTCCTTTCGCCAGTGAATCTGCAGGACTGGCTGTGTGTTTCTTGTTTTCAGGGTTGAGGCAATGCGTTTAAAATGTTGAAGTTGTAGTGTGATCAAAATAGCAGGAACCCATTGCAGTGGTGCTGTTCTATCAGCAGTTTGGTCTCTATTAAGGCAGAGGGCGTGTGCACCTGTGTTTGGTTTCTTGTTGAGTCGTGTCAGACTCTGAGATGTGTGATATTTTAATTGCTGGCAAACAGTATGGTTCTGGTGCCTTGCAAAGCCACAGTGATGACGGCGCTCTTTTACAATTACATGCTGCTGGGCTAGACGTCAATTTCAAACTCAGACGCTTTGTGTTGGTAAAAAAGACGCAATCACAGAGGGATCTGCTGCACCAGCAGAGGTTTCATTTTCTATGACCCCAACCAGCGGGTGTTGTCATTTATCCTCTCTGTGTTTGCGCAGCGGAGAATGTAACTCTGTGAATAACAAGAGCGGTCCTGTGACGTGGCCCGAAGAGGCGCATCCCAGCACGCGGCCATGTCTGGGCCTCTGCGGCCTGGTCAACTCCGGGAACTCCTGCTACCTGAACGCTGCTCTGCAGTGCCTCTCCAACACCTCCCCCCTGGTGGAGTACCTCCTGTCTGACAGGAACCGCAGCGATATACTCAAGTAAGCCTTCCTGGTTCGAACTGTACCACTGGGTTGGGTTGTTGTTGTTTTCTTAATTGAAAACTGAAAGATCTAGGCTTCAAGTGATAGAAACTATAACAGGTTCATTATAAAGCCCTGCAGCTCAAGCTCACTTCTACTAAAAGAGCATTGTACCTCCACACAATTCAAGCAGCGATTTCTCATCACGATTTACCTACCTAGGCTGGGGTTCTCTTTCGTTCTGTTTAAAGCAGTCTTTGACAGGGGGCAGAAAATGTCATCTTTGTAATCGGAATGGCAAATGCTTTTTAAAGAATGACGCCAGGGTGGTCTTGGAGACGAGAGCTCAAACGTGGGAAATGACAGTCCCCTGTCAGCAGCGCTTTGCTGTTTTACCTGCCGTTTTGAAATTCCCAGGTGGACCACAAAAGTCTATCGTCCATAGGAAGAGCCCAGCTGTAGTGGCTGAGGTCACTAACGGGTTTCCAAAGACCATTAGCCTGCACTGCACTGGACCTGGTCCAACAGTGTGGAAACCCGTTAATGCCAATATCCTTGGGCTGCCCCAGCTACTGCCCCTGTCTTCTCTGGGAAACACCTCCTCTCTCTGGGAATTAGTGCACAGCAAAGCTTCCGATCAGCCGGAGCTCTGGCATTTCCTGCAAAGATTCCTCTGGCAGCTACGCAAGGCCTTTCCATAATGAGTGTGAGGTTATTGAATATGTTTTGCGATTAGTTTTTTTACCAAATCCCACTAAAGCATGTTGTTTTACCTTCAGACTCCAGGGCGAAGTGACCTGCGCTCTGGTCCGGTTCCTCTCAGACGTGTGGTCATCTCGCCGTGAGAGCTTGACCCCTGTGGAGATGAGAGCTGTGGTCAGTAACCTTCATCCCCAGTTCAACAGCCTGACTCAGCAGGACGCACAGGAGCTCCTCCTCTACCTGCTGAACGGGCTGCACGAGGAACTCAAAAACGTACGTCCGTTTCTCCTCCTGAGCTGGGGAGGACATCACAGAACACACTGCTGGGTCTGACTCTGCCTTGCACAATGGGGGTGCCTATTTTAAAATCACTCGCAATGGAAATATAGATTGATTTACCCCAGAGAACTCCGTATCAGCTAGGAACCATTCCACTAATTAAAAAGTGCAAAGTAGAATGTGCCCATCCTGATGTCATCTAAGCGAGACAGAGCTCTACACAGCAATGGCGTGACCTCCTTGCCCAAACAAAAGGATGGGCTGAAACAATCTGAACATTCTGTCAGGCAGTCCCTCCTAACCTGCTGGATTTGAACAGCTTAATTTCCCAAAGACCTGTCAGCTTCCGTGCTACTTCCTGTAAAATTAACATGGCGAGGACACAGACGGGGGGTTACCCAGGTTTCTCCCATTGTCTGTGATCCAATACCAAAAACTGCCTGGGTAAAAGTTGGGTAAAATGTCAAAAATAGCAAACTTTGAAGTACACGTGCTCTTCAGTAGGCTAATAGCAGGAGCACTGTGTGCCTACCAAAGAAGAAGTTCAAATCACAGCAAAGAAAAGGTCGCAAATAGTACCAGGTCATTCTGAATCCCCCAGTAAATGTATTACACTGTTTACAACCAATTGTATCCCCTCAATAGTATGTCAGGTCCTCTTCGCCATACCGAAAGCTGGGAGCTCTAACCTCCTGCTGTGGGCTCTGCTGCTCTGTTCTTTGGCTGCAGAGAGGGGACAGGAGGCCCGTGAGAGGGGGAGGCAGGAGGAGAGACAGTGGAACAGCCGCCCCTGTGAGGGGCGAGTCCTCCATCATCACGCTGCTCTTCGAGGGCCAGCTGCACTACCTGACTCTCTGCATGTTCTGCGACCATCAGACCCAGACCAGCCAGGTCTTCACCGTGCTGTCCCTGCCCATCCCTGCACACGTGTACAAGTGCTCCCTGCAGGTCAGTACATGGGAAGCAGCAGCTTCTTAACCAGTGCGCAGTAACATAGGCAGGAAAATGGAATCTGCTTCTGTACAAGCATTGGTCAACAGTAACAGAACTCTATGCATGATACTGATATGTGCTTCAGCAAAATATAGTGAAAGTATTATGTGAGAGTAATTTAAAAGCGTGCTGTGAAGTTGCCTAGTATTCCTTATTTGGGATGGTAAAGTGGGTGACACCATGGTAAAGTAGTTAGCATTGCTACCTCACTCTGAAGCCCTGGGTTCAATTCCTGGGGTTCTATCTGCGTTTGTGTGTTCTCCTGTGTTTGCATGGGTTTCCTCCAGGTGCTGTGGTTTCCTTCCACAGTCCACTGGTGTCCAATTAACTAGTGGGTTAATTGGCTTCTGGGAAAATTAGCCCTGGTGTGAGTGTCTGTCCTGTGAGGGACTGCCCTCCTGTCCAAGGTGTAACCTGCCTTGTGCCTGTTGCTCTGGCTCCCCCACATCCCTGAATCAGATGAAGCAGTGAGAAGATGGATGTAAGGACAAACCTTGAAAAGTAGAACTGTTTTATATTGAGCACACTTCCTTGTTTAATTACTAACCAATCACAATCCTGACATCTGGTGTTAGCAAAGTCTTAAGTTGCTGAGCTGAACATCAAAGCCCTTATCATTAAAATGCTTCTGTATTCTGCAAGATCAAGCTGATATTTGACTCCTTCTTAAATTCAGATACTGTGATTACCCAGCCTTTAGACATTAGCAAAATCACACCTGAACAGTTTCAGCTGCAACTGATGTATTCAGAGGTGGTAACCTCTAGTAAGTGCAAACTTACTTACATAACTTACATAAACCATACCAGACAAAGGCTTTTGAATTGTTCAATATGATTGAAGTGAAAGTCCCATTCCAAGAATACATCTAGTCTATAATTATCACACTCTCTGTGCATGATGTCTCTTACTCACATGTAGTGAAAGTCCACACAGTCATAAACAACATATCAGATTCTCCCACCATCTTTCATTCACATCCAAAAGAGCTGTTTTTCCCCAGTGCCAGCTGCAACAGAGACATTAGCTACAGCTGGTGAGTGTACTAGAGCTTGATTTCACAGTATTGGAAACACCCAGCGCATTTCAGCTCCACTGTTGTTCTGCTGCCTTCTAGCCACAACGTCCCTGCTAGCAGGGCATTAGGACAAAATCTCCACCAATCTGAATTATAAGTTTAAGAATTTAAAACACGCGTTGTACACAAGTAGCCATTTAGCATGTTCTCCCATCACAGGGCAAAATAAAAAGCAAATTAAAAGATAATTTTTAGATTTGTATCAGGTAATGAGGACCAGCTTTATTCGCACACAAGAATTGAAATATTGATGTAAAAAATGCAAAACATATTCCACTGGTATGCCATAGATAAAACAATAGAATAATAAAAATAAATAATATTTATTATTTTGTCATTATCAGTAGCTTGTGCTCCCTCATTGGATAAAGCCGAAAATGGATGAATTATCAGTAGACTCTGCATTACAAATGCCCCCTTAATGTTTGTATAAGAAAACTAGTGGGCAAGACATTTATAGTGCTATTTACTGAACAAAAGGAACTTATAACTCTGCTTGAGCTTGTATGTTTTTAGAATAAAACAGTATATAGATGTTGGATATTGACTAAATTCGTTAGTGTCATTTTCCTCAATTGATCACTCAGGTCTGAGAGAGACACATTCGAGTGACTTTGAATATTGCATAAACAGTACCTCCCATCATAGGGAATACACAGACATTAATACACACACAAAGCAGGGCCAATTTTCCCAGAAGAAAATTTACCTACCAGTACGTCTTTGGACTGTGGGAGGAAACTAGAGGAAACCCACACAAACTCAGGGAGTACATACAAACTCCACACATACGGCACCCCAGGAATCGGACCCAGGCCCCCAGCACTGTGACACCAATGCTAACCACTGCGCCACTGTGGCAACCATGTCCTGCTATTTGTCATTTCATACTTTTTCATTTATAAGTGGAACATTTCTGTTGATGGATTACATTTGAGCTCCTGGCATGAAGCTCAATATTTCATCCTGCTGGTGAACATTTCCTTGTGTTTTTCAGGACTGCCTCGAGCTGTTCTTCCAGCAGAACACCCTGACGTGTAACAACCGAATGTTTTGCTCTCAGTGTGGAGTAAAACAAGACACCGCTGTGCTGACCACTCTGGCCAGACCCCCTGAAATTCTCATTCTGCACCTCAAGCGGTGATTAGCTCTCTTCCCATCTCTCAGTACTCCCGCAGCCTAGCTGTTCACTGGCACTGGCTCCTCCGTCTTACAAAGAGAGCGGACGGCCATTCATTAATTGGTCTGTCAGGAGCACTCACAGTAACGTTCTTCGGAAATGCTTACCTGCTGGAATTTACATTTCTCTACAACGGAAACACTTCCTGTTTTAGAATATGTTAATATTTATAATATATCATCCTGCGCACATTGCTATCCGGGATAGAATCTGACTGTCCCCCATGACCCATCCATCTTCCAACTGTTTCCTCCAATTCAGGGTCGCTGGGGAGCTGGGGCCTAGGTGGGATACACACTGGACAGGATAGCCAAAACAGCTCAGTGAGCTCAAATATTCACTTACTTGTCTTCATGCTCTTCATCCCACCTCCAGCTTCAAACATCACACCCTGGATAGGATGGCAGTCCATCGCAGAGCCAAAAGAGTAGACACACTCACACCGGGGACATTTTTCCAAGAGCCTATTAACCAGTATGGCACTGTGGGAGGAAACTGGAGCACCAGGAGGAAACCCACACAAAATACAGAGAGAACATACAAACTTTGAAGATAGAACTCCAGGCCGCAGCATTGTGATACAGCAATGCTAACCACTGCACTACCATACCGCCCTGTCATACTTTATGTTGTAACACGCACTGTTGTACACATCTTGCCTAATACTGTTGATCTTCCAAAACCTCTATGGTTCTATTTAATAACCAGCGCTTTGCAGGATATTATTTCCTAATTCAAGACAAAAGCAGTTTGGATGAAGGTGAGTATATTCACGATGGTTTTGTCTGTTTATTGCAGTTTTGACTGCCAAGGACTTAAGAAAAAGAAACTGAGGACCAATGTCTGCTTCTCTCTGGAAAACCTGGACTTGTCTCCGTATTTGTCCGCCTCCTCGGGGAAGCGCGCACGGTATTCCCTGTACGGAGTGGTGGTGAGTCGGCTCGGTTACACCATGCTTTCATCCTGCAGACACTGATCTCCTGCGCAAGAGCGTCCCTTAACCACACCCGAGCACTCTGCCTGCCCATTCACATTCTCCATAAACCAGTTCTGCATTTCAGCCCTGCAGGTCAAGTTTTATCCCTCCATCCATCTTCTCACTGCTTCATCCAATACAGGGTCACAGGGGAGCCGGAGTCGATCAAGGCAAGGAACAAGAGCAAGGCAGGAGACACCCTGGACAGCACTCCTGTCTGTCACAGTGCACACACACTCACACCAGGGCCAATTTCCCCAGAAGCCAATGGTTAATTCAGCATGTCTCTGGACTGTGGGGGGAAGCCACAGAACCAAGAGGAAAGTCACGCAAAACGTGGGGAGAACATAGAAACTCTACACAAATAGTACCCCAGATCTGGAACTGAACCCAGAGCCCCAGACCTCTGAGGCAGCCATACCAACCACTGTGACACCAAACCCTCCCCTTGTTTCATCAACGAGCCATACTGTTTGTTTTAAACCATGTGAGAACCAGCAAGAATAGAAAAGGCATAGCCTCCAAACGTTGTCTCATCACTTTGTTTCAGTTGTTCAGTGACTGCAGCGCTAACACTCTTGAAAAATGTGTGATGTGTGCAGAACCACAGCGGGGATCTGGACGTTGGGCACTACACAGCGTGCTGCAGGAACCCTGTCACTCAGAACTGGCACAAGTACGACGATGCAGTGGTGTCTGAGATTCCCGACTACTTCATACAGTCGCCCAATGCCTATATCCTCCTCTACAGCTGCCAGCAATTCCAGCCGCCCAATATTCCAGGTCTGTGATTCTGTTTTCCAGACACGTACTGTCTTACTCCTCCCCATAAAATCCAAATGGCATGGAATCTTTGTATTGTGCATTTTTTCATTAATTATTCAGAATACAGAAAGCGCCACACCTCACCAGTGAATGTGTCTTCATGTAATGTACTGTATATGCATACACAGGTATGCTAAACTGTCATATGCAAATACCTGTGCTTTCATCTGTATGACATGATTTCTTAAACCCAGGATGTGCAACGTTAATGCTCTGTTTAGAGAGAACATCAAGAGAAGTAGGACCTGTATCTGTAACTTTGCCTATAGAATTGTAGCTTTAGGGTGGCATGGTGGCGTGCAGTGCTGGGGCCCTGGGTTCAGTTCTGGATCTGGAGGGGTTACATTGGGAGTGTTCCAGTTTCCTCTCACGCTCCAGAAACATACCATTAGGTTAATTGACTTCTGGGAAAACTGGCCCTGGTATGAGTGCGCCTGGGTGTGTGAGCCCTGAGAGGGACTGGTGTCCCATCCAGGGTGTATCCCACTTGCGCCCATTGCTTGCTGGGATAGGCTCCAGCTCCCACGCAACCCTAAACTAGACCGAAACAGAAACTGTTATATGGATGGAATGGCTTTTATACAGTTAGGGTATGAGAACAAAATCTTCCTGAATCATAACTGTAAACTGAATAAAAGAGGTTTTGGGAGAATAGGTCATATGCCTCTTAACCATTTATTTTCTTATGTCTGTGCAAAATAAAAAGCTTTTTCATTCAAGAGAATCTGAACGTTTATCTCGGTGCTTTTTTGTCAAGTAGCCATTTCCTGTCAGCGGGCAGCTCTCAGCAGCGTGAGGCGGAGGAAGGCCCTGCCTGCGGGATAGATCCTCTTCCTCCACTATCGCTTCCTGACCTCTGACCTCTGACCTCAGGGGAACACACTGCAGGGAGGTCAGGAAGCCAGAGGGAGGAACTGGCCAGAGGTCTGGCTTCCCTCTCCCACTCAGGAAAGGGAAAGTTGCTATATTTATAATCCCAAACTACCGCTATGAACAATTCCAACGTGCCATATTAAATGGTAGATTTAATAAATAATTCCCTGGACTCATTTTACTTTAAATCAATGGTTACCATGTCAGAAATACAACATGAGTCTTCAACACAAGTACTAAATACCATCAACACTAAGGAATAATGAATATAATATAGGAAAGAAATAGTATAGTATAGGACAAATGAAAGACACTTCAGCGCCACCTAGTGCTGCAACTGAAAAATAACCGCCACAGTAACCATTACAAAACTTGCAGTACAAGTATGGAGTATTGAGTATTGTTTCTGGGCACATTTGGAAACCAGAATCTAGAGACCTGCTGAGGTATAAGTCAACAACTCTATCTTGTGATGAGGTGACGGGACCCAAAAAAAACAACAGCAGCATTTCATTTTAGATTTAAGCGTTTAATTAGTTGGTATATATATATAATTCTATAAAGATTAAAAAAAAATCTTCACAGAATACAAAGAAAAGATTTTAACAAAAAAATAGAAACTTAAATGTTGGACACTGTTTATACCTCCGAGAAAACATGAACATTCCAAAATGAGCAATTTTGCATTTTGATTTTCCTTGCATGGAAGGTTTAAGGTTTGCCATGGGTGCGTTCTCTTCTCATAAAGACCTCCCAGGCACCCCCCCCCAGCAGCTGAGCTCAGTCAGCAGCCTTGCTGTTCAAATTCATGTGCCCCTCCACCACAGAAGGAGACTGCGCTGGAATGATAATGGTTTACACTGGAGAAATTCAGCGCTCCTGAATGAAACCAGATGATCAATTTAAAAACTAACCAAAAATATATATCTGTGAGGTGTGATCCAACTTACTCCTGGGACCAACACTACTGCGATACAGTACAAAAAATGAAAATAGGAAAATAACCTCTAAGCGGAGCAGATTTAAGATTTTTTTCCCGTTAGTGCTGGGGTAATTCTATCATATTATATACTCGGATAAGTACTACAACACAAGTGGTCCCGTATTCAAACTCATTCTCACAAATATTGCAAAAAGCCATTTGAATAACAAAAGTCTGCATTAGGTATAGTGAAGAGTAAGCCAAGCAGTATACTTTACAATACCTGCGATATCAAGCATGCAACTCCTTTCATATTCGGAGACTGGCGAATAAGGGAACTTCTCTCATTTTAACAATATGTACACAGGTTTAATGTGCAAGATTTGCAATCACTTTGTACATTTGCATTCCTATCTGTTCATTCTATTATATTCACAGTACAGGAAAGCTTAAGGTCAGTAATGTGAAAAAGGCCATCACATTGAAACCAAGAAAGAACAGAATCAGAACGTTTAGGGATTCTAGTCAAACTAGTGTACAACAAAGTGTTAAAGACCAGGTTTTAACAGTTTTCGATGGTGTAATAAAGTGTTTTCAATTGTTCTTACACTGGTCATGAGGCAGAGTACGCTCTTCTTACTACAGTCACTAATATCGTTAAAGGAAGTGTGAAAACTCCTTAGTGATCTTTCAACTCCATGGCAGCTATATGAGACAGATGCCCCCTGCAGCTGTAGTCCTCTGATTTGTATGAAAAAACAAGTATCCCTGCCTACTGTGATCTGGATCCCCAGCAAGAGGCTGCTGACCTCTCAGGTCTTCTGTAGAAGCAGCTTGGAAACATGCAGTAATTAATACACAGGCGCCTTAGACTCCTGCAGTTACAGAGATGAGTAGAATAAGATGTAGGCAGCTGAGGACTTGACAGAAGAAGCAGAAAGCTCTGATATATCGTGGTCATCAAACTTGTACCAGCGTTGTTTTAAGCCATTCTTACAGTAGGCAGTATAGTGGCCTCCATCCATACCTCCATAGTGGTTCTGTTTGAAAATACAAGCAAGCACATTATTGGCATTTCTTCTGAGGCACCGCTGTATATTCAACACAGACAGATATCATGTAAACTGGCTTGCCTCTCCCGCACAAAAAAATGAATGGTATGATAAACTCTCATTTCAACCGACAAGGGATGACAAATCTCCTCCCAAAAAATGTCTCATCATGTCCTTACCTGACCTTTAATCTGGCAAGATTGTTCAGAACACACAATACATGATGTGCGAGTTCCAATGTCCCAGTTTTTTTTTTATCACAGTAGCACACTATTTTAAGGCATCTCTGCCAACACAAATACTGAACAATAACACAGACTTCCATTCACCAATTTCAACACCCACCCACACATGCAGTCAGGGTACAGTCAAATCACTTCAAAATGAAGTTATATAGCTCATGGTGCTTTCAAAGTGTTTTCTGACATTTGTAAACATTTTAAAAATGGAAATCCAATATTATGAGATTATTTGGTTTCTAAAATATAATAATCTTTATTATATAAAAAAACAGAAAAGACAGCTTAAGTGTACTTACAGACACTCCATAGAGATTGTATCTTTTTAAATTGTGCTTGGGACCAATGACATACTGGGACAGGTCCAGATTTTCTAGGGGGAAATCCACATATGTCTGCAGTTTCTGCCTCCACCTCCCTTCGTAGGAAAACCTGCAACAGGGAGAACACTAAACATGAAAAACAAATTACATAAATTGCCTTCCTTGATGTGCCTTCCAAGTTTCTACAACACTATGCACAGGTATCAGCAGATCATACAGCTCTAATTATGGCTGGTACAGTAGGTCTCCAGACTTAAGGCTCTCTTACCGTTTCAAATGCACTAATAGAATAGGAGGCAGTTTCCAGATTTCTAACTTCTTGGTTGCATCCCTACGAGTTTTGCAGTTGTTACACTCAACTTTGTTGCTGTCTGTCAACTTTTCCTCTTTAGAAAATGCCTTCAGGCAGTCCTGTTAAGAAATGTTCATGATAAAAACCAATCAGAATAAAACTTCAGAAGAGATGCTGAGAGACGTACACATGGAATACAGTACATAGCATACACTCTGTAATGAACAAATGCAGTCGGATCCCATTACAATGAAAAATAATTTTAGAAGTGATTATTAACTAGAAAATTAGTAACATGCCATACTGAATATGTCAATGAAAAGGCTAAGAAATAACATAAAATTAGAAAATTTCATTTAAGGGTAGTTTACTGGAAGGTTGGGTGTAAGGGGTTTTTGGTTTTAAGCCCCCTGGCCTGTGGGCGAGGCAGCCCCTGCAGAGAGAGGAGCTCCACAGGTGGAAACAGGGTGGAGGAGTAAAACTAACGTGAGGAAGAGACGGGGGCTCATGGTAGTATTTATGGCTTTTTGGGGAAGCACCATCATGGAAGATGACAAGTTAGAGAAGCAGAAGTCAATAAAAATGTACTGTTATGCTTCCCAAATTTCCAGTAAAACTTTTATTCAAAAAACACTTATTTCGCTTCTTATTACTTAATTTTAAAGAAAATGAACCTTCATGTTTTGCTTCGGACTACAACAGAAATAAAACATTATATCCACAGTAACCTTTTGTAGCTTTGGAGCCTATAGTCTTTAATGCTTAGTGTAGAATCACAAATACTGCTTTACCTACTCATGACCCTACTGCCTGGAATCTATCCCATCTTATCAGGTTTATTATTTCTGGCTCTATTTAAATTCTGTACATCCCACACACCCATCCCACCTATGAATGTAGATTTCCAGCCAATTGTTCTGGTCATTCTCTTATGGCCATCTAGCGCAGTTCTTAAAGCCACCACTACCTCCTTCTGACTTGTGCTGTTTGGTTTTTAAAAACCGTTATAGCGGCAGGATTTTTACCTGGAGGGTGCACTTGTTTGAGGATGTTAGTTGCAAAGAAAGGTACATGAAAGTTTCAAAGGTGCGGGATTTTTTGTGGCAAGTCAGACACTGCACGGTAGATTTGAACTGGCCCTGGAACAACGCCACAATGATGGACTCATTGAGCAGCTTGTGTTTGCTCCAGGCCAGCTCTGCTGCTTTGAAGTCATCCAGGTGGTCATTGGTTTCTTCTTTGTACCTCTTTCGGTTGTCAGCCTGGAGGAGATCAAAGGAAACTGGTAGTAACCTGGAAAATGCCAGTATCAACTTCACGAGCTATCGCAAGTAGAGAACCCTCTGTGATCTCTTGTCCCTAAAGAAAACTGCACGAATGCCTCTAATGCAAAACACTAAAATCCTCCTTCAGCACCTTACATCACATCATTCAAATACATATTGGGCACAGAACTGTTTTTTTTCCTACTTCAGATATTTTAGAAAAGCATCATTGCCAAAACGTTTGCTGAGTGAAACCACAAAAAGAAACTCAGAATTAAAAAAATATCAGGACAAGTTTTGCAAGTGGAAGCTGAACTTCAAAAGGAATCCACAACTTTTAAATACATATGTAACAGTAACATTCAGACTTGTGAATTCAAGGTAATCTAAACTTACTCTACCTATATACTAAAACAAAAGGTTTATTTCTTGAGAAAAAACCGTTAATGAACAGGTCTATTATTTTCTACAGGATCTAAACAATGTATTTCTGCCTCTCCATTCTCCTTTACAGAGAATTAAGTGTCTGATGAACACAAAGGAGATTTCAAATGGAACAGACAATGTCTGTGATGGAGAGCAGACTGCCACAATGCACCAAAACACCACACAGGGTAGGTCTGTACCTGAAACAGCACAAATCAGATGTTAAAACACTTTTGCATGTTTTTAGATGATGAATGGTGGGGCCCAGGCTTTAACACAATACAGTGCTTCTTGCTGCAACAATGAGGCATGTTTTAGAGTACACATGCAGTATTTCTTGATACCATAAAACAGGACACACATTAAACACATACAACAAACAACAGAACATCAGAACCAAACAAAGGGCATCTTACATTACTTACTCTCTAATTTGCCATCAAAATGAAAACCAAAAAAAGAAAAAGGGAGAAATTGATACCCTATGAAGACAAGAAATTAATCAGTATTTATGATAAAGGAATTCCCTACCTTATTTGTGAATTACATTAGAGTGCTGTATATTAATGTCTGAAAAGTGTATTTCCATTTATTCTCTGCATTTAAGTAACTAAAATTGAAGCAATTTAATGTCTATAAACTGACTCAAAATTAGTTTTATCAGTCAAAAGTATTAAAAGTATAAAATGTTCCACCACTTCACATTTTCTATGATCCAGCATCTGGAAAACTTTTAAAAAGCTACAATTTAATACATTCCCAGAAAACAAATAATTCTAAGAGACAATCCACACAATCATGAGAAAAAGACAAGTCTTACTTTATTCAGGTCTTCGTGCAGCCCATCCATTAGGAAAAGCAGAAGCTCCTGCGAATCCTGATGATCACAGCTTGTGAACCGGTCATTGATCTTCCCGATGGTGATTTTAAAATCTCGAGGACTTATGCACTTATACAGCCCTGACCACAGAGCTTTCATTATCACTGCAAACTCCTCTGCAACTTCACCTTTGTGCCCCAGAATATTAGACCTGAGACAGACAGAACATTCAGCTCGTTAAACCACACACTTTAAAGGGGCTCTTAGAGAGCCACTCCCCAGTTTTATAGGTTGCCCTTATATCACCCATTTCTGAATACTTGAAAACTTCATTTCACCACTTTAGCAGGGGATTAGTTCAGCTGAGCTCTCAAGGACCACAGCTGACCATTCTTGACATGACAAAATTGATCTAATCTCATGCGTTCCAACTCTTTACAAATTGACTCCACACCTGTGAAAAGGGCTCTGCATACAAAACACTGCATTTGAAAACTATTTTTTGTTGTTGAACAGTATTAGCACATACTCTTCTTAGTTTACTTGACCCTTTCCTTCGCTTAAGGAAGAATTTTTTCAAAATGTTCTGGGGAATTAACCAATAAAAGATAAAGAGGGCCAGTATTTATGTCGGCAACATTGTGCTCTAAAAACAATGTCAGATCAAGTCCTTCATTGATCAGGTTTTACATGTCGTGGGAAAACCAACGTGGTGTTGCATCAGCCAGCGCGTTCCTCACAGAGCAGCAACACCAACTCACTGCTGGAAAAAGAGGAGACCAAGAGGGATTCTCATTTCACCTGTTAATATCTTCCAAATAGTAGTTCTTGTTGAAGTAGTCAGTCATGCCGGGAGTGTTGCACAGACACTGCAGGATGGAGTTCATGTAGCAGGTGTTCCCCAGGTTGCGCAGTCCAGTGAGACACATCCCCGGAGCCCCGAACACGGGGTTCATGTTCCGGATCTTGGCCGCAGACGGGCGTGCGATTTCAGCTTTGGTATAAGGGGTGAGACTGAGTGGCCTGAAGGGAAACACAGAACCTGTTACTTCTCAGGACCATCGCCTGAATTTCAGCAGGAGTTTGTTACATTTGTCTCGGCAGGTTTTCTGAATGTGAAGTTCTGGACACCCCAAGAGTGCCTTTAAGTGCACAAATTTCAATTTCAAATTTAGAGGTCATAAAAGAGAAACATAGTAGCAGCACTCAGGCACAAAAATAGCCTTGAAGTGTGCAGAAGAGGTAACTGCTTCTTTTGATGAGCAAGTGACTGGCAGTTACGCATGCCCCTCAGCTCACAGCACCACAAAGCAGGGCCCTACCACGTACTTGGTCTCTCTGTTGATGGCGGGAGTCACAGTCACTTTCTTCTTGCCCTCGTCCTGGATGTCCTGGGTTATGTCAGGTGAGGAATAGGAGCGTTTCAGTTTGGAGTGCTCTCGGTCTGCCTCCGGCAACCGCACCTGCTTCTGCTTGAGGGTGGGGGGCGTGGCAGGAGGTGTCTGTGTCACACTCATCTCAGGGGGGTACAGGTGCACCCTGTTGGTAGGGGAGTGGTAGTAACGGTAGGTACCGGTCACAGTGTCCAAGAACTGGAAAATAAGTAAACAATGTCAGAGGAGTGCTAAAGAAAGAAGCATCTTACAACTGTTGTAACCTTTGCTTCATATTACTAATGACTGTCTTAATAATTGGATTTAGAAACCTAGTACAAAGCCAAGACACCAGGGTTCACACCCTTAAGAACGGTATCCTGGAACTGACTGCTTGAGCATAACTGCTCCTACAGTGTCTCTGGTCACCATGCTGGAGCAGTAGTCCAGAAGGAAAAGAGATTGGACCACCAACACCACTTGCAATAACAACCTGGATTTCCTTGGAGGTCTCCCATCCCAGTACCGACCAGGCTCAGGCTTGCTTATCATTTGCATTTTATAGAATTTCTACAATGTTGTATGCATAACTCCAAACTTATTTTAAATGTTTTTTTTTTAACAATAGGATTTTAAATTTTGATGTATTTAGATTTCAGTGTACGTGAAAATCAAAGATTCTCAAATCCACTACATTCTCAAGGGCAAACATTTAGCGTAACTGGTCCGTTTTCGGAGTTTTGGTCATCACCTTCATCCAGCCGTCTGGCAGCCCAGGCACTGTCCTTCCCATCTCCTCGCTTCGAGCTCGGGTCAGGGGCTCACGCTGCAATAGCAAAGCACAATATCAGAGCTGGCTGGAAAGAGGCTTCAGTCGAGCTGACTGTAATGGGCTTGGAAACCTTCACAAACAGGCATATAGTAAATACATGCACAGATAATAACAGTAATTTACATCACTTCAGTCCAGCAATGAGTGATGAAAGCAAAAAAAAAAGTCTCCAAAATATTGAAACCTTCCTAAGATGCGCCTGTATTTTTCACTCCCCATTATTCTACAACACCTTCTAGAAGATGACATTACAAACCGAATGGAACATCTTCTTCAGAAACTAAAACAACTGTGAAAAACGTTATGCTCAGCACAGCTTAGATATTTTGTTATACCTTCGGTTTTTCAATGTCTTCTTCTGTGTTATCTTTTACAATCCTTGCTTTTTGGATTCCATTCTCTAGTGGATTATTAGGCTGTATAGGAACCTGAATTGAGACAAGAAAAGGCTGAAATCACATCTTTTTTTACTTAAATGAAAATCTTCATCTAACCTTCGGTATGAAGGGGGTCAATTAAGTTTAAAGTATGTAAAGTATCCCAATTACACCGATGTTAAAAAATGTCATCCCTGTCAATTAATGCTCTCCCAGCTGCGAAAGTCTTTTTCTAAGCTGCACATGGTGATGAAGCCTGTTGAAGACATTTTAGTCTTTGATAATTTAATTGGAAAGGCCACACAGAAGCAGATCTTTATTTTTCAGTAAGAAGTATAAGGAGCTATTGAAGGTGCTGGCAGCACAGAAACACCCACCTTGGTGTCACCGACAGGGCGGTGATCTGGAGAAGACTCACGAGACACTGTCTTCGCCTTTGCATCAGGGGCGTGATGGCTCTTCTTCTCCCGCTCCTCCTTGGGTTTCTTCTCCCGCTCCTCCTGTTTGGCCTCGTCTCGTCTCCTTTCCAGCTCCTCTGTGAGTCGGCGCTCCTTCTCTTCCTTCTCCCTCCTCTCTCTCTCCTCCCGCTCACGCCGCTCTTTCTCCTCCTTCAGCCTCTCCTCTTCCTCCTCGGCCAGCCTCTCTCGTGCGTGCTGCTCCTTCTCTCTCTTGGCTTTGTCGCCGAGATCGAGCGTCGGCTTTATCGAGCGGTCAGGAACGAAGGGCCCATTCTGGACTGGCTGCTGGTCCTTCACTGGGGCATCATTGTTTGCTTGGGCACCATCAAGCACTTTGGCGGAAGGTTTTTTAGTGCGGTCAAACTGGAAAGAGGAGATGATAAAGGTTTAATTTTGCAGGATTGGTTCAGACGCACAAAAGCAAATTCAAAACCCATTTCCAATGGATGGGGAAAGGAGTGGGCGAACCTGCGGAATGGGTTTTGCTGGAGCTGCAGGATGGCTCCCAGACACCTGTCCTAGTCCGGCCGCAGAGACAGGAGAGGCCGCAGGCTCTGGCACCAACTGCACTGCGGGAGCCTCCTGCTCTTCAGCCCCCTCCTTTTGCAGCTCCTCATCAGCAGAGCTCTTCCCGTTCACCTCGACAGGAGGCTCCGGTTCCGGCTCTGGGGGGGCAGGGGGCTTGGGCTCTTCTAAAGATGGGTAGCTGAAGGTCACTGTTATCAAAACAGAAAGGTCCACCTTTTAATTTAATTTCCTCCAAAGATTACAAAATATAATTTTAAATAAATTGGCCAAGGTCTTCTCAGTTCTTCCCTTCTGCTGCACTCAGTTTCAGTCTATATGACGCACTAAAGTAAATCAGGCAGGGGCCATGTTGGGTCTCAGCTATTTAAGAGAAATTGCTACTAATATTTTACCAGCTGCTCCCTACTGTACATAGAAAACCCTCATAATGAGAACCATCAGTGTTAGTGCTCATTATGAACACTATTAATGGGACTGCAGTTTTAAGTTCCTGGAAGTTAACATAACAGAGGACTTAACCTGGACCCACCACACCAACACCGTGGTCAAAACAGCACGGCAGTGCCTATTCTTATAACATTAGTAACATATCCAGGCCAGCTTCTACAGGGGCACTATTGAGAGTATCCTGACTGGTTGCATCACTGCCTGGTATTTGAACTGCTCCACCCGGGATCGCAAAGTACTGCAGAGGGTGGTGAAGTCAGCGCAGCTCATTACCAGCTGTGAGCTACCAAACGTCCAGGTTATCTACTCAGCTAGATGTCTTAAGAAGGCCAGGTCCATTCGCAAGGACCCCCGTCATAAACTGCATTTGGTCAAAGTCCAACAGATTATGAACTACCTCCAAGGCAATAAGACTGCTAAATAGCCACCCTGCAGTTTCTTCAGCAAATCAACTGTACATGGACTACATGGCTTCATGGACATACAGTTTTCATTGTATATGGCATACTGCACTACTTGGACATAATGTATTGCATACACCTTGGACACATAGCAGCCCTATTTATATTTTTTTAACTTTTGCCTGAGTTTATTTTATTCAATTTCTATTGCACTATTATCTATCGTTACGTAACCTTATTTTGTAACTTTAATTTTGTGATTTTTATCCCCCCCGCTGAGCTCATAGAAAAGACATTTCATTGCCAGCAACTACTGTTGCACGCTGTACTGTTGTGCATTTGTTAAATAAACTTGGACTGATTGATTCCAAGCAAGTGGATCCCTTTTTCATGTAAACTTAGTGTAAGCTTCACTGAGGTCCAGCACAAAAAGTGCAGTTATATGAAAAACAGAGGCCGCCAGTACATGTACATACATAAATTCGGGAGCGTTTCGGTCCTCTCCTGCCTTGGTACTTTGACTTTGGCATTGGATGTGTACATCGGGTAGAACAGCAGCCAGTTTTCGTAGCCTCCCTCTAACACCAAGGGCTCACTCCGGAGGATGGTTGTGCTGTCCCACTGAGGAGCAAAATACGTTTTTTAACCTGCAAGTCAAAGGATCTCGCAGTCCTGAAACACTATACTAGCAGCCACACACAAATGTAACAAACTGAGATGACTTGTAAAAAGTAAAAAACACGTTTAGTTGTTAAGGTATAGTTACAGGTACACAGAAACAGGTAAAGGTTTATTTCATGCTGAAAGGAAAAGAAAAGAGACATGATGTTTTGACTTTTGGTGTCACCTGAAGAAGGCTCTAAAGCTGAAATGTTGTGTACATTTTCTTTTCAGCATGGAATAAACCTTTACTTGTTCCTTTGCAGCTTACGTATGCTGATGCAGCCCACTACTTAGAATTTACAGCTACACATGCACTTATTTTGTCCTTAATTTACAACATATTCCTTTTCTCAGTCAGAATGAAAATAACCATCATCCCAGTGATGTAAGAGCTATGCAGTCACTACAAAGGAGCCCAACAGGCAGTACTGACTGATATGTGACACTGATAAGCACTGGTCTGAAAATGTAGGCAGATAGAGCAAGACCCAACACTGAGCAGGCAGGACAGCGACAGCCACAAGCACCGCTGAACCCAGAAGAATGCCACGCAGCCAAGACCTCACCTTAAACAGTGCATCTTTGAGGCTCTGCAGTGTTGTTCCCAGCTTTAGGTCCTTCACAGAGCTGAACCAGTCCAGCAGGACAATGTAGTCCACAAAACCTCTCTTCTTCCACTGTGCTTTGGACTCTTCAGGCAACTTCGGCTCAATCTGACTGGCAGTTATTCTGAGCAAACAAAAATGCAGACTAAGAGACCAGTTTTGGGGTGCATATACTTTTTTACTGAATATCTTGTGGGTGCGCATTTTAAACATGCATGACAACCTGTGAGTTAACAGTAAGGTCCAAACTCAAGCCTACAGGCTCATCAGAGTTTACCCCAGTTATAAAGAGTATGCGACTCCCCACCAGAAGACATGCTAATCCCACGCAGAGCAATTGAGATGAAGTAATTTGCTCAGGCTGTAGCAGGGACTTGAACCTACAACTATAACCACTAATGTACACGCTTCCCACACCCATAAACAAGTACAAAACAGGAAATAAAACTACAAAACATTAGAATAGCACTTAAAACTATTTTTATAATACACGTTTGCTCCTAGCAATATATAATACATATCACTATTTTAAAGAGAGGATTAATGTGATTTGTGATGCTATTGTCCAGTGATAAACGTAAAAACCTTGTTTTCAGAAAACAGCTCTCCTTCCAAATCTGAAACTGATGCACTCATAAAGTCTTTATTTTATGTCATTGAAAGCGCACAAAGGGTTAACTAAGGCCAAATGTAGCTAGGTTTTTTACAAAATTGGCTGCTGGTCTTTAACCTACAGCCCATCACAATTAGGCAAGATCTTTAATTCAAAAGTAATTATCAGGACCTGGGATTCATATTGTCTTACCCTGGTTTGATTGCCTCTTCAGGAACACTGATACAGCCCTGTTCAGGCACTTGAATCCGTGACTCCTGGTAATCCTGAAGGCTCCTGGCATCCATGACAATGACACTCATGCTCTGATCCTTCAACATTTGGAAGAGCTTCTCAGCTGTGATGCCCCCAGGGGGTGCAGCAGCTATGGTGTGAGAAAACCTAGTTTAGCAAGACATCCAACTTTTCGACCCCATAGGGGGCGACACCAAAATTGCAGTCTACCTCTGAAGCACACTAAGCACACAAAGTACTGGCACACTGAAAAGGGAACTGGCTTTTTTTCTAGAACACTCAGAGTTGCATAGAAATAAAAGTATCAAAAAAACTTATTAGTACAAACTCCTGGACAATAAAAGATCATGAGAAATTCAAGAAATATTATACATCTTACAAATAAATATTGATTTATTTTAACTTCTGTTTTCAAACATGAATCAGTCCAAACTTTCTTATGTTATAAAGGACTTTTTTCTGCTGTATAAACTGCAGCCATAGTTCTCACCTTTTGAAGTCTCACTTCGCCCATCCTTCTGATTCCCTTTAAGCTAGAATAATTACAGCAGAAAGCACTTTAAATGAATGTGATACTTGAGATTATTTTTTCACACTAGGGTTGGATGATATGACAATACATTAGATACAGTTATGATATTTTTCTTCATAAACTTAAAAGTGGAGGGGAAAACTATCATAAAATGATGGTGACATCTGTTTTCTAATAAAAACTCTGCTTTATATATTAGTCTTATGTTGCTCTAGCTCTGTAGAGCTGGAATACTGAAAGCCACTGTCACATTAATAGACATTTCATTAGGATATATTATATATTGCCCTCCCCTGAATAAATGTCTTAAAAAAGACACGTCACAAGCTCTGGCCACACACCCAGTGAAAATGTCACAAGTACAAATCAAATAAACTGGGATTGGAATAAATTGATAATGATGCAAAATAATACCATGCTCCCTCATGAATCTGAATTTCTCAGATATCAGGATATTTATAAGTGTATTAATCACCCCATTTCAGACAAAAAGATAGAAAATAAATACAAAACATAGCACAACAGATCAAGATCAGATCAAGCAAAATATATGAAACATGAATGCATTACATTACTAATAATATGCCAAACCTGAAAAAAGCAGTTTTGACCTCAGAATGCCCTTTGTTCAAATACAACATGGTCATGCAAGACAACTGTTTTACAAAAGGACTATTGATTAAAGTCTAGCATACCTTTGCTTTGTCTTGACAGATTATTGCTAGTATTGAAGACCATGTGTGTATGACACGTTCTGGAGCAGATAGCAGGTAATTAAGCTTGTAACAAAGCAAAAACTTTGTTCCTAAACACTAACTCACTGCTTTTTTCTTTTCAATTTATCTGACTTTTCCCACTTCTTAAAATGTAATCTATAACATTCTGATGGTCTAACTCCTTAAATGAAAATCAAGAAGCTGACAATTACTCTTTTATCTTATGTAACTGGGAGTAACTTTCCTAGGGGCTGATGTGTATGAACAATGTTATACAAACAGTCTGCTTTCACATTACTGTAAAATATTTTACTTGCAAAAAAACAAGCAGAATATTTAGCATCAGGAAAAAGTGACAAACACAGATTGCTTCGGGTAAAGGCTGCTACTTTGTTACTGTAATCAAATAGCTCCTTGTTCCTGATGGATGAATGAATGAATGAAAAAAAGAGTTTTGTTTTTATGCAGTTTCTCTAATGAAGCCATTCTTCCACCTTGCATAAAACTCTAGTATTTTGAAGGGATAGCAATCCAATTTAAATTTCAAGAGATTACACACATCACCTTAGATTTTTCTTTCTTGGACTCTGCTGTCTCTTTTAAAGAGCTCTTCCTGGATTCCTTTTCAGATTTCTCCTCCTTCCTTTTCTTTTCCTCCTGCCTTTCCCTTTCTTCGAGTCTTTTGCGCACCTCAGCCTCTTCATACCTGTTCCCGGATATGAAGTCTCAAATGAACACTGTGATCTCTTAGCAGAACTAATGTGATGTTAATCAGTGTTAAGATCCACTACACAGAGAAGATGCAGTAAAAAGGCAGCAGACTTTTCACGGTTCCTTTCAAAGACTGACCTGAGCTTAAGGCTGTCCGATAGCTTCTCAGCTTCCTCTATGGCTTTTTTAAAGTTTGATGGCCCAAGTATAGACAGAAAAAACTCCTTGAGAAATAAAGAAATGAACCACACAAGATTCATTGACAAATTCAAGGGCATAGCAAAAAGAAATCATTACCGTTCTACTGCAGCAATATTGTAAAATAACTTATTCTTAGTACATTTAACATGCTAAAGCATGTCTATCACTCCACTTCAACAGTTAAAACTATAATATATCTGGCCTCATGCATAAGAAAACAAACATTAAAAATGCTTAATTACTACCTAGAGCATTTATCCTTGGACAAAAACCACAGTTTGAGGCAGCTAGGAATTAAAAAGCTGTTATCAACCTGGCAAGATGACTTGCTGTGAAAAATCATTCCAAAACTACACACTGTAATGCTACACGAATGTATGAGCACTATTTTTAACAAAACTGTTTCATAGGAGCTAACTCAAATAAGCAGTGAAAAGGATTCTTTGGCTAATGAAATAGTTAATCATGACATAAGCTTTCAACCTATTGTTTTGCTAGTGTTTATGGGGCTATGGTGTTGAAACAAAACCCCCTTGTACCTGTTGTTGCTTGAAATCCGGCCTTTTTTTAATGAGATCATACACAGTCAGGTACTTCATGTACAGTACGTATGCCCTCTCCTCATCTCTGTCCAAGCGACACTCTTCTGCAGCTTTAAAGATCTTACAGGCACTCTGAACATAACTGAAGAGCAAAAAAAAAAAGAGATTCAAATAGTTTTAGAGTTGAGTTTTAGAACAGTCTAGAATCTAACATTTTTCTTTAACTTTCAAACACACGCATTTAATGCATAAAAACAATGTTAATATATTAAAGGAAGAGGCATATATTATCAATAGTGCTTATTAGAATTAGTTTCTTCTATGGTACTGGATACCTTTAAATACTATCCAACCAAGGTGTTCATTAACACACGAAAATCTTGACGTAACAGTGAAACTTGACACTTGATTACTTCGTTTTTCTCATGTGATGCTCAAAGCAAAATGTTTTCGAAACCTCTAAGATATAAGACAGGAACAGCAAAAGCAAAACATCTTACTGCTGGGAGAGAACTGTCAGGTATGGCACTGACTGGCACAGGTTTTGCACAGGTTGCTGTGTGACAGGTCGTAGCACGCTAATCAAATACCTTCTGGTGCTGCATTTGTCTGGCTTGACCTCCGCCTTCTTGTTCAGTTCACCTAAAGACGTGGACAGGTACAGCTCTTTCGCCCCTGCGGACACAGTCGGCATCTTCGCGAGCAGGGTATGGCGGATACAAGCTCGTATACAATGCACTGCCCAAACGCGTGTACTAGTTCATGGCTGGTTTCTCTGTTAAAAGGAATACCAAAACAAAGATATCTGCAATTATCCCACAGATCCGTAAATATGCCATTTCCCCTCACTTCCTTGTAAGTTGGCAAGTATTTCTAAGCACTTATCTATCATCGCTTTCACATTATGTCCTTAAGCGATATAAATGCACGACTTGAATAATATCCCCATATTATGATGTACATTTTGGGTTTCCATGAATATGAATTGATGCAGCACTTGGCAGCGGTGCAAAGTTACTTTGCATTTTGTTAATAAATGGCTGTTAAATAGGAATAAATACAGCGAAGAAAAATCAAATAACTTGAGCTATCTAGGCCTATCTCAGATAAAGGATTTTAGAGACCGGACAGTCGCCAGCGTTTGTACTGGGAAGTCCCTGACTAAGGACGATCTCATTTCCTCTATAATCCTGCTGCCTGCAGCCAAAGTAGGCAGTCCTCAACTACAGCAGACTAAACCAGGAAAAATCATCTGAGAACGAAACAGAAAACAACCAATTTACGTTTTGTAATAACAAAAGAACTATTGTTAAATGCCATAAACATTCAACATTGACAATACCCAGATAACCTACAGAACAGACGATACTGGGCCTTAAACCTTCACGTCTGTGCTAGGTACTATTATTATCTTCATCACCGACGACTAGAAAACATTCCCGTCGGCGACACGGCGCTTTATAGTTATAGAAAACTCAACAGCACACGCTTCTGGCAAACGCTGCTTTGAAGCCCGAGTCCGTAACAATAGAAAAAAAAAAACGTGTTTCTCACCACTTCCGAAGTTGGTAGTCTGTTTTTTTTTTCTTCGGAGCAGCTGATTCCGGGAACAAACTCCTGACAGTCGCTGTCACTCACTCCGCAACCTGATGACGTCACGGCAGCAGGCGGAATTTCAAAACGCACAAGCTTTATTAACACTCGTAAGTGCAGCGCGCCGGGAGTCCGAGAGTGGTTGTCTTAGTGTGATCGTTTTTTCCCCCACCCTATATTTCCATGTTCTCACTATATACTTTTACGGGTGTTTAAGAACATACAGTTTAAAGACACCCCATAAAATCTGTATTAGAAAATTTCCATAGTACTTGTATTAATCACAGTGATAACAGTCGTATTGAATTATAAAATTCAGGACGTCATTCTCATGTAACATTCTAGCAAGCGGGGTTTTATAAACTTAATTTGGTATGTTCAGATTTGTAATGTTCTCTGCCAACATATAATTAAGAGTCTTTTCTGTTCACATTTCTGTTTTGGATGCTGTATCTTCTTTGTATTAATTGATAATAAAACTAGGAAAAAAAGACCGCTTTTATAATTCAACATTCAAGAATTACACATTTATTTTCAATTTAAGATCTTTACAACGTAGAAAAAACATCAATCAAATTAAAATCTCCACCTAGTGTTCTCTCAGCTTTTTATCATCGGATAATTTTATAGTAATACTGTTATATTTCTGCAAGGACTTCTTGAGAGCTTATGTTTTGGTGATAAATGTAAATGTGACACCATGATTCGAGTAAGAAAATTGTTTATACTCGACATAAATTAACTGCTTATTCTTAAATTCGAAATAAAATTATATAATTATGGCACATATTATATTATTAACAAATTTATTAAGGGATGGAGATTGCATTTATTTTGAAATGATTCTAGCAAAAGGTAATAAGGATTTACAGAGAATTAAAATACGAGACTGTGAATGATTTTCTTTATTTGATTGACATTACAAAATCTCCACCTCCAAAAACATTAAAATATCAAGTGTTTTATATAACCATGTACTGTACCACATTAAAAAAACACTGGAGAACTTGGATTTCATCATTGATAAAAGCCGACTTAAAAGCACTGGAAAGGACGAGTTGTTTTAAAATAAGTCAATTGAGGCCACTGAACAGCTAAAATTCACCGTTTACTTTACCATATCTCCGATACAAATCGGATGGCTAAAATCCTGAATCAAATTCTCAACGGCTACATAGTAATTTTCTAATCAGTCTGTGTGAAGTGTTTCTGAATTACAATCATATATGGAAAAGCATCACACCCTGGAAAAAGGCTGAAGTAAAACAGCACTTAACGGATGTGTTCACCCTGCAGACCCGCTTCCAATATTTTTATCATCGGTAAATATAAAAATGTAGCTTGATTTTGTTTTAATGGGGTTCGGTCCTTAAGCATAAACTACCGCACAACCCTATTTTCACCCCGAGGCGGAACAACTACAGTGTAACTTTTCCTGACCATAAGACTCTTTTCAGAGAATCCTTCCCAGTAAAGACATTTAACAAAATATTACAAGCAGGGGGGGCAGCAGATCCTGACAAAGTGACTATGTTACACACTGCTGTGCAGGGCTCGGATATCTTAACGGTCTCTCTGCGTGGCGAGGAAACCCGGCAGAAATCCAGGTTCAAAACGCAAAGCGCAGCTCGAGCGCCCAGCGGTTCGTCTGCACAGCAGCTGCGCCACACCGACTTCTCGGCCACAGCGCACTATTAAGTATCACTCCGCACGCACATGTACGTTCCTCTCACTTTGTTTATTCAACAACAACACACATAAAACTACCACACATGGCCGATAACCACTACTAAGGTGCACCGGGGTTCCTTCAGATTTTAACACTGGCAGGAAAATGACGGCAGTGCCCCATGAGGGGGTGGTTTACAAGTCGCTACCTCGATAATAACTGCCAACAGTAATTGAAGAAGAAGCTGATCACGCAGCCCCGGAATGTGCACATCCGCGCAAAATACGGGGACTTGTGAGTAAGAAAACTGGGCGCCTAGGCGAGAGAGCATCGTAACAAAACCCCCTCGGTACCCTCGCAGGCTCCGTCGGCCCGAAGTACCGCGGTCCGGTAGATCCAAACGGTAAGGTAAGGCTCGGGCGGGCATGCTTATCAATGTGGCAGGCAATAAGGAATCTTTTCCAGGTCAGTGTCGGGGTGTTTTGTGCGGCCCTACCGGATGTGGAAGTTGATCTCTTTGCTGGTGAAAAATAATTCAACTTCCCCCGGAACCCCGAGCATCCGACCGGTTTCCTGTTTATTGCATTAAACTTGCCAGGTTTCCGGGGTTACTGGCGTTTAGAGCTTTATGTTTTTTGGGGAGCAATAAGTGCCCCGCGGTGTTTACTTTGGGCTGGGGTCCCGGTGTTTTCTGGCGGCAGTGGGGGTGTTATCGGAGAAAATGGTGGCCTGGTGTTGTGCGCCTTGCCTGGCTTGGGTAGCGGGCTGTAGGGCCCGAGGGAAGCACGGTGTTGAAGAAGTAGATACGTGCAGACCGAATATGGGTAAGCGAATGGGTGTCGTGTTATCATGCAGGACCCCAGTTTGACTTTAAATACTGAACGTCAAAGCCTCGTCTGGTTTCGATCACGATTAATATGGGAGCTAGTCAATTTTATAGTTGTTACTAGCGTGCTTTGTGTTTTCTCTCCTCATCAAGCACTCCAAAGAACGTAAACGTTTGTTATACAGATCCTTTATCATTGATTTTTCCAGTTTTAGCCTGAAAAGAGCGACTTTTTTGCCTGAATCTTCAGAGAGCTGTTTTCGTTTTGATATGTACCACGGAATCCACGTCGCCATTTTGATTGTGTATAATAAAGTGTTATACTTGAAAGAGGTCCAGAATCCCCACACAAAGTTATCTACTTGTGGAGGGAGTAAAAAAACAAACGAGAGTCTAAAACAGGCGAAATACTGTTTTTATACGCGGAAAGGTGTCTTTGGGATTGACTACAAATAGAAATGACTGTTTTCATTCGATTTTCCGCAATGAAAGTACATGCGGCTATAACTTGAACCTCCTGCTTTTACGATAATGAAAGTTTGTATGTTAAGTGAATATCGCAATTTATAATTTAAAGTAATGCAATCGATGGTATGACAGATCATTATATATATATAATACGTCATATTATAATATAATTTCAAGGTATGAGCCTTGTTTTTCAGCTGTACTGTAAGACTGTACATTACTGTACCACTGAAGTTATAGTATATCCTCTGTGTACAACAACTGTAATGTAGGTTGTAGTGCTTTGTTGAATTAACACTGTTCCACTGCACTATCGCCCTCTATTCTAGCAGAGCAACATATTGTACTGTTATAGTTATTGTTACATAACTATACAGTTCTGTTTAACATTTGAAACATGACCCTTTGACTGGACTGTTACTATAACAGGACTCTTCTACCTTATTGTTATTATAACCTCCTATAGTAACAGGACTATTTTGCTTCTGTTATTTTAGTTCCTTATGTAACATAAATATAAAAAAGAAAATTTTCTAATTAAAAGAAAGCTCACTGCTTTTTAAATAAAGAACCAGGAGCACACCTGTGATTGAACTTCTGAGAGATGTACTGCCAGAGCTCATGTTTGAGGAGAGACAGATTTCCTAGACTTGGGTGACCTCACAGCAGATGTACGGACTGGGTCAGAAACTCCTTTGTATAATCTATACTTCCCACTCAATGACACCAGAAAGTAAACAATATAGATGCCAACTGGAGCTTCCTTAATGCAGCATTTCTGCCAATCTCAGCTCCCTCATTGGCATGCACATGTCCAGTCACCCTAGATCTGCCATCATGCAGTGATGTTGTCTTTAATTTAGACCCTGATGACTAGCATCTGTTGCTGTCTGCTCAATGTGCCATGCCCACCGAGACTGTCACGGTGCTTAAGAAGTGGTAGTTACAATGAACAGGTGTGTGTTTAAATGCACACTACCTGTTTTGATCTATCGCTTGGTGTGAATAAGGTGTGAGGAAAAAAAAGTCATTTTCGCTTGGCTTTAAAAGTGATGAACTGTTACTTTTTGATGTTAGATGTCCCTGGTGGATCTGGGCAAGAAGCTGCTTGAGGCAGCCCGGGCAGGACAGGATGATGAAGTCCGTATTCTGATGGCTAATGGAGCACCGTTCACTACAGACTGGGTAAGGACTGCAGGGTGTGCTGAAATGACATGGCTGCACAGTGGTTTTTTCACTCAATGCCAAAAGCACCATGACAGCAACTGCTTTACCTCTGATAATTGGCATTTGTATGCATGCTAGGGATATTAAGCTTATCATAATAATAAAGAAGGTTCACTACTGATTAAACTCTTTGAACATGTTTATGATATGATGGATCCCATTTGTACATTTGATCAGATCACTTTCGCATAGGTATTGAACTGTTAACTGTCAGCTTTTGAATATCCTAGCAAGTGCTTGAGAGTTTTAATTTTTTGCTAAAATGCGCTGTGCAAGAATGCCCTTTCTTCTGTCTAGCTGCGAGAAAGATTTTTCTTCTAATGAAATTATTTTTCTTAAGGCATACTGAATTTCGTCATACCAACAGCCTGCATGAGTGTTATTTACTTCTGTTTTGACCAAGGAGGATTTGATAAGGAGTGATCCAGTCTCTCTTCCCTTGGGTCACAGCTAATTTATCATTTTAAATGTTATTTTTATTAAAAGGCACAATTAAACTCCTCTCATTCATATTAGGGTTGAAAGCATTAGTGCCTTTTTTGTTTGAGTAACTTGAAAGCAGTGCTTCTTTACAAGGGTTAATGTGACAGTTAAAGAAGTGAACACAGTCCAGTTAAACACATTTTTTTCAGAACCCTGACCCTTTCTGCTTTTTTTCTGTTAGCTTGGAACGTCACCCCTGCACCTCTCGGCCCAGTATGGGCATTATTCCACCACAGAAGTCCTGCTCAGGGCAGGGGTGAGTCGGGATGCCAGGACCAAGGTGGACCGAACCCCCTTACACATGGCGGCTTCAGAGGGCCACGCTCGTATTGTGGAGGTGCTGCTGAAGGTAATGACTCCAGTCCGTCTGACCTGTGGGAAGGATTCCAAATGCTCACAGACATCTGTGGGATGTAATGGTGACCCAAATGTCTTGGCAGGTTGCTGACATTTTTCAAGGTCCTGTGATTCTGGCTGCATGTAAAATATTTTCAAAACATACTAAATTTGCATAACAGTATAGAGTGCCCTTCAAATGTATTCATCCACCTGAATGAAATGGGAACAGAAATGTTTCTAGCAGAAAGATTTACAGATTGGATAATGTCTTGCTTAGCATTGCACAGAGATAAATCATATTTGTCAGAAATAATCTTGTTCACACACCTAGTAGTTGGTATTTTATAAATCCTGCTCTGGCAGAGATCTCAGTGACTAGAAGCCTTATAATGTGTACTGATAGATTCTTGCTCTTCAGAGGGAGAAGTTTGACCATTCCTCCCGGCAGAAGAGCCCTAGGTTCTTCAGACCCACTGGTTTCTGTTTTGTGAGCTCCTGAGGTTGAACCACAAATGGTTTTAATTGGTTTGAGGATCGAAGACTGAGTCAAGAACATTTGTATGCAGTTATCCACTTCTTTGCTGATTTGGGTATATTCTTTGGATAATTGTCACACTGGAAAATCTGTTTTTGTCCATTCCCGAACTTCTTGGCAGAGGGATCAAGATTCTGGCCAAAATGTTCTGGTACTGTATGTAGGGAAAATCATGAAGACCGACACTTTAAAAAGGTCTCCTGAGTCTGTAGATGTAATATAACCCAAAACATAATAGGGGCCTCCCTGTCCACCATCTTTCATAGTGAATGTGAGAGTTTTCTCAGTATTTGCTCTATCTTTGTATGGCCCACGCAGCACTGATGTGGATGTCAAAGAGCTCAATTTTAATTTTATCTGACCACAATACATAGTTCAAATTGTCATTTTCTTGTAGTTCAGGAAATACGAGTTTTGTGTCTTGTTCAAGAAGAGGCAATTTTCCTTGCAACCTCTCCATTTATACCACATTCACATAATGTCAAGTGATGTTGATGCTTTGTATCCTGAAAACATCAGTTTGTTTTGAAAACGGGACTGTTTCCTAGGGTTTATGATTGCTTCCTGAGCTACTTGTCTTACAGCTCTTGGTGTAAGACAAGATACTCTTGCATCTTCTTCTTGGCAGGATGATTTTTAGCATAATGTTTTTATAGGTTGCTGGATTTTATTTCATGGAATACTTAGAGGTGTGACTAAATCTGGTCTTCGGGTTTTCCAGAATTCAATATGTTTTAGACTTGTGAAATCTCAAGTCAGAATTTGTGTTCTTGTTTCAAGGGTATTAATAAATCTGAAGAGCACAGTATATACTTACAATCATTAAAACTACTCAGAAAAATTAAATGCTTCCCCTAGCTGAGTTCTTGTTAATTTCAACACCGTAATAAAATGGCTTCTCACTTTTTAGGGATGCTTTTGGAAGTTACCTTGACATTGTATTTTTCAATATTACATTTCTTATTTCTTGATCATTTCTAAGTCAGATCTTTTAGTATGTTGGAAGTGTGAAACTTTAGGTACAGTTATGGTGTATCGAAATCTATTATTAAACCCATTAAGCGCTACAGGCTATACACCAAAAGGCTGCACAAGTATGGCTTTGATGTAGTAATTCTGTTTGCTAGTTGTCCTTAGAGTGCACTAAATTGAACAGTGATTGGAAAACAATAGTAGTTTCATAGCAAAAAAATCAGACCTGTTAGATACTTTCATCATCCCTTTCCATTTGTAAATGTGGAAAGTTCACCAGCAACAGTACATGCATTGATTTAGGATTTGTTTGTTTCTAGCATGGAGCTGACGTGAATGCCAAAGACATGCTGAAAATGACAGCCCTTCACTGGGCCACAGAGCATGGCCATCGAGACGTCGTGGAGCTTTTAATAAAATATGGTGCTGATGTTCATGCACAGAGTAAATTCTGCAAGAATGCACTGGATATTGCAGTTGACAATGCAAACGAAGAACTGGCAGAAATTCTTCAGGTAATTCCCCAGTTATTTTCCCTTTGAATTGCATCTAAAAAAGATGGGTGTAATGAATACAGTCTAACAACATTCTGTGATGTACAGTGGGTATAGAAAGTCACCACCTCCTTTCAAAATGTTCACCTTTTGTTGCCCTAAAGCCCTAAAAGAAGACAAAATCAGACTTTTTCCAGTTTTATTTACAAATTGTACCTTGCAACATGAAATAAAAAAGAAAAGCAAAACTTCCAGAAAAAAAATAAAAATAAAAAAGTAGAATAACTAGGTTGGATAAGAGAACAGCCCCCCATGAGTTAATACTTGGTGGAAGCACCTTATGCTTGAATTACAGCCTTGAGTCTGTTTGGATACATCTCTACTACCTTTGCACACCTAGAGGGAGGGATATTTG